AGGAATACATGTTTGTATTCATGACGCTATAGTGTTCTTTTATCTTGACTTTAGTTAACTTTGGCCTTGATTTTAATATTGTTGGATACATTTTTCAAACAATTTGTTTTTTAATTATTTTTTTTTGGCAGGTGAGATAATCCGTAAACATAAGACATAAGTGCATTGTAACACAAGATGGAAAGCTTACATATTGTCTGGGTTTATCCCCTTTTTTATGTTCAAGGAAGTATACATTTCGGTTGGAATAAAACCTGTCTTCAGTAGCATGTGCATAAGTCTTGGCAATCATTTGAGAAAAACACAAATAAATAATAAGTTCTACTAACTTGGGTGCAAGGACGCAACCCGATTTTAAAGTTAAGCAAGGTTGCATGCCTCAAGATCGAGTACCTAGTGGTGACTGTGCGCTGTAAGCAGGTATATGGCTTTATTAGCGTAGACTGTATCTCTGCCCCAACAGTATGAGAGATATTAAAGCACCAGTTGTGATTTGCAATAAACTATGCCAGATATTAATAAGGCTGCAGCTGCCCATGTCTACTGTTAGGCCTTGAGTAGTTACCAGAGTAAAGAACGGAGATAATATCCAGGTCCCCAATTAAAGTGTACAGAGAATAAACACATAACATAGATAAAAGTGCCTCAGAACAGAGTTTAGACTTGTGTTCATTTGGGCCCTGTGTACTGTGAAATCAAAACAAATATAGCATGATGGGTATGGTCACTGTGCATTTGCCTACTGCCAGTGAGAAGTTGTGTGGTGGTTATCACAGATTAACTTACACCCTGTTCCAAATTATTATGCAAATTCTATTTAAGTGTCACAAAGATTAAATATTCTGTTTTTCAGTTTAACTCTTGGATGGCATTGTGTCTCAGGGCTCTTTTGATCACTGAAAACAATCTCAGACACCTGTGATAATCAGATTGCAAGGTGAGCCCAATTTAAGGAAAAACTACTAAAGGAGGGTGTTCCACATTATTAAGCAGAGCACCATTTTCATGCAATATGGGGAAGAAAAAGGATCTCTTTGCTGGCGAAAAGAGTGAAATAGTTTAATGCCTTGGATGAGGTATTTCACAAAGACTTAAGCGTGATCATTGCACTATTAAGAGATTTGTGGCTGATTCAGAGCACAGACGGGTTTGTGCAGATAAAGGCACATTGAGAAAGATTTCTGCCAGATCCATGCATCGGATCAAGAGAGCAGCTGCTAAAATACCATTACATAGCAGCAAACAGATATTTGAAGCTGCTGTTGCCTCTGGAGTCCCATCAAGGTGTAGAGTCCTCCAGAGTCTTGCAACTGTGCATAAACCTTCTATTCGGCCACCACTAACCAATGCTCACAAGCAGAAACCGCTGCATTGGGCAGAAAAATACATGAAGACTAATTTTCAAAAGTCCTGTTCACTGATGAGTGCCATGCAACCCTGGATGGTCCAGATGGATGGAGTAGTGGATGGTTGGTAGACGGTCACCCTGTTCCAACAAGGCTGCAATGTTAGCAAGGCGGTGGTGGAGTTTTGGGCCGGAATCATGGGAAGAGAGCTGGTCGGCCCCTTTAGGGTCCCCGAAGGTGTAAAGATGACCTCTGCAAAGTATGTGGAGTTTCTGACTGACCACTTTCTTCCCTGGTACAGAAGGAAGAACTATGCTTTCCGCAATAAAATCATCTTCATGCATGACAATGCACCATCTCATGCCGCAAAGAATACCTCTGCATCAATGGCTGCTGTGGGGATAAAAGGAGAGAAAGTCATGGTGTGGCCTCCCTGACCTGAATCCTATTGAGAACCTTTGGAGCATCCTTACGCAAAAGATCTAGGAGGGTGGGAGGCAGTTTACATCCAAACAGCAGCTCTGGGAGGCTATTCTGACATTTTGCAAACAAATTCAAGCAGAAACTGTCCAAAAACTCACAAGTTCAATGGATGCAAGACTTGTGAATCTGCTATCAATTAAGGGGTCCTATGTTAAAATGTAACGTGACCTGTTAAAATGTTTAAAAAGTTAAAATGTTGTTATAAATTTGATTGAAATAGCTTTTGATTTCAGTAAATATGCTGCAAACACAACAAATGACAATTTTCAGTTCTTTACAACCTATAAAGTGTTTTGAAACTTACTGTGCGTAATAATTTGGAACAGTGCATTGTAAGTTTTTTATGTTTTTAGAAATACTGTTATCATTAGGAGGGTTGTTCAATAAAATTTAAATTGTACTCTTAATAGTTGATAACATGAGAATTATGCTGACTGTTATTTACATCAATTATTTAGGTAAATGAGAAAAATATAACTTGCATAATAATTTGGAACAGGGTGTATTTAAGCTGTTTGCATAGATATTAGTGAGCTTAATAACACCAGATATCAACTGGGGGGATGGAGGTGGGTTGGGGGGAGGGGGAGAGGGGTGGGAGGGGGAGTTAAGGGGTCTATTCCAATGAATGGCACAATGCTTAAGTATTTTAATGACCCAGAAAGGCCATATGACCCATGAAGGTCACCATTACAACAGCCAAGTACATGCATAAAATAGATAAAATATAATGAGAATACAGTAGAGAACTAAAAACAAAACAATCAACAGTAAAAAGATCCATACAATATGAATATGGCCATGAGGAGCAACCTTTTGTTAAACATAGCTTTCAATACCTATTTCAAGATCATTTATAAATATGTTAAATAGATGTGGTCCCAGAACAGAACCCTGAGGTACATAACTTACCACTTTTGTCCAACTTGAACATTAACAATTAATGACAACTCTCTGTGCTCTATTTTTACGTCATTGTTCTACCCAAGAACAAGAATTTAGGTCTACACCAAATTTTGTAATTTCTTTCAACCATAAGAGCCCTTGGGGACACCCATTTATACAGAACATTTGCTGCTGGCAGCTGAAAGATCATTTCTTTGAAGGTTGTGGGCCATTGTAGTGTTGATCTGTTGAGGTCACGAATAAAGCTCAAAGAATGTTGTTCAAATACAAATTGTGACTGGCCTTTAACTTGGGATAAGAAGGTGTCCTTGTCAGATTATAGGATTATATCCATGGGTACATTAAGGTGGCAAGGTAGCCGCAAACAATCTCCTGATGAGTTCGTTGGTATCAATTGCATTTGGGACTCCCCAAATTTTCAGATTTCCAGCCGTCCCACCTTAGCATGCAGTGCTGCACATGTGTTTGACACCTCCTGTAGGTGGATTGTAGTTGAATCCTGTTTAGTTTTAAGGCTGTGGATATTCTCCTCCTTGTTTTTCAAATTAATTTATATATTTTAGATAAACTTTTACAATGATTTAAAACTATGAAAACGATGAAAACAAATGTATATTTAAATATATTTTGAAAAATATTTCAATAGTTTATCCAAAAATATTATATTATTTGAAAGGCTTTTCCAACAATATTAAAGCTAGATCTTGTTAGGTAATCCTTGAATTCTATTTCAGACATGAGGCTAATATAAAAGTTGAAAGATTGCCAAATAAAAAGAAGAAAAAAAAAAAGAAATTGCAGTGCAATAATCATATCACTCATAGAAATGTTTTCTTTTCTTAAAATATAATTCTTTTAAAAGTAAAATCAGTTGAAGAAGCTGCTCAAAAAGAAATTTCATCTACCTTCTGAATGAAATGCTTTGGTAAATCATAGACCTATGTGAAGAATGTGTACCATTTTTTTTTATATCATTGTCTGCTAAAGCCATGGCTTGATTAAGTCATCTAGCTACATTTGGGGTTCAGATTGATATATGCCACTTGCATAGGGATATCATTCATTAAGAATTAAAATTCCATCTCAAAAAATTTACCATTTTAAACGGCATAAAGGACTATGGTCTTAAATTTATAATTCAATATTTAAATTAATTGAAGATGTAAAGAGACTTACAAACACAAAATAGAGGATAATAGAAGATATAGTAAAGATATATTAAAAGAAAAAAGAAAAAAAAAGGAAAGGGGGAAGATTAAGAAGACAAAGGATAGACAAAAAAAATGGAAAACAAATAAAATAAAAGGCAGTTTAACTATTAAACAAGGAACTGTATCATACAAACTTCATACAAGTTTATATAAGCTGATTTTAACGGCAATGGCCACTGCATAACCAGATCTTCTCATTTCTAAGCTTCAAGTGAAGACTGAATAATCTCTGTTTTCCTTTCAAATTAATTAATTGTCTTTGATTAAGTAAACAGAAAAGCAGGCGGGGAAAGGAGAAGAAGAAGAGAAAGGGAAAAAAAAGAGGGAGCAAACAATCCTTAACTAAATCCACATGTATCCCCTGTATCCTCCAAACTCACCACTCAAAAGAGTACAAAGGACCAAATTATACAATCTACAAGAGGACTAATTCAAAATGTCCCACAGACAAAAGAGTAAAGCGGCAAAAGACGATAAAGCTGAAAAAGCATCTTTCTTCCTGGCAAGAACTTTGACACTAAAAGCTTGCGATGATCTGAATACCTCCCAAGATGGCGGTGACGCTGAGACCCGCAACAGCTCACCCTCGCCCCAGCCTCTCCTGGTTTGCCCCAGATGACAGACACCTTACGATGGGTACAATGAGGACACATGGCTGAGCTGTAAGATACCATCCAAACTACAATCAGAGGTCAGATGCAGTTTGTGACCGCAGAATTGAGGAGGGAAATCCAAGAAATTGGCCAACGCACGGACCAGATATAGATATCCCGGCAGAATAAACTTTGCATACGAGGAATATGAGAATCAATGACGGCCGCAGAACTAGAAAACTTTTTAGGCATCATGTTCCAGGCGTTAACTCCTGAACAGCACCATCACATGCTTCTAGTGGATAGTGCTCACAGGCTTCACAGGCCTAAGCACTTGCCATTGACCGCAGCCAGAGACGAAATCACACTAATAAATTATGAAAGCAAGAAGGAAAGCAGGATTACCTGAACCGTATACCAATATAAAAATATTTGCAGATCTTTGCGCTGCTACTTTACAGTTCAGAAAAACCATGCAACCGTTAACAATTACCCTACGTGAGCACCAAATAAATTATAGGTGGGAATACCCAGCCAAACTGCTAGTTCACCATCATGACTCTCTCCACGCCATTATGACCATGGATGAAGGGCTGGGCAAGCTACGCGAATGGAACATCCCGACTCCTACTGTTAAACAACACAAGCCAACAACATTTCCGAGAATTTCTCTAGAATGGTCCACTACATGAAAGGCTTGCAGCAAACTTTTGTAGAACCATAAGTAACTTATATAATAGCACCACTACCATATTCTGGTATAGGTTATCTTTATTTGATTTAAATATTATATGTTACAATTATTAATATGTCTGCGGATGGGGACATCCACATTGGCATAACTACTCAAATTAAATACAAAGTAAAGTTCTGACTACATTTGGGTACGGCTTAGACTAATTATATAAATATATCATTGCTAAGGCCAGTAAGATTTTTCATGTATAAATAGGGGCATAAATTCTCGGGATGAAAATATAATTCTGCCTCTTTATAAATCGCTGGTAAGACCACACCTTGAATATGCTGTGCAATTTTGGGCGCCTGTTCTAAAGAAGGATATCATGGCACTGGAGAGGGTCCAGAGACGAGCTACAAAATTGATAAAAGGAATGGAGCATTTTAGTTATGAAGAAAGGTTAAAAAAAATTAAATCTGTTTAGTTTGGAAAAACGGCGCCTGAGAGGGGATATGATAACTTTATACAAATATATTCGGGGCCAGTACAAACCTTTATCTGGAAATCTATTCATAAACAGGGCTATACATAGGACACAAGGTCACACATTTAGGCTGGAAGAAAGGAGATTTCATCTAAGGCAAAGAAAAGTTTTTTTTTACAGTAAGAACAATAAGGATATGGAATTCTCTGCCTGAAGAGGTGGTTTTGTCAGAGTCCATACAGATGTTTAAACTGAAATTGGATAAATACTTACAAAAACATAACATACAGGGATATAATTTCTAATTAGTGGGGTAATAGCTGCTTGATCCAAGAAGACATCTGACTGCTATTTTGGGGTCAAGAAGGAATTTTTTCCTAGTTTGTGGCAAAATTGGAAGCGCTTCAGCTTTTTGCCTTCTTTTGGATCAACAGCAAAAACATTTGTGAGGAAGGCTGAACTTGATGGACGCAAGTCTCCTTTCAGCTATGTAACTATGTAACTATATAATATTAAAAATAAAAAATGTAAACATTTTTTGTTTTTTTAGAAGTTGCTAGGTTTTCCTCCCTTATAGCCCACAATAACAAATTGTTCAGAAGCTTTAAAAGCTACCTACAGCTCCTCTCATGAGTACTCCTAACTATGGAGCATCTCATCTCCACGTACCCCCAACTAAGTATCTGGGTTCTCCTTGGTAATTTTTTGCTCTTTCTTTTTGTAAGCCGTATTGGGCACTTTGCCCATGTTTCTTTAGTTCTAGTCCCCTTTATTCGCTCACCCTCCAGTGGTATTATTTGATATATCAAAATCCAAAGTTCCAATCATCCTAATCTATATAAAGCACAAGAGCAAGGTTCTAGAGAGTACCCAAATATATGCAAGTTAAAACTAAGGGACTACTTAGCATATGATACTATACATTATTGATCACAGATGTACTCTAGGTATTATATTATATTGAATTACATATAGACTAGTATGAAAATTGTATCTTTCAAGGTGAAGGGTTTGAATTCCTCTAGTAAAAGAAGACTTCTCATTAGGGATATAACTAAACAGGGCATTGATGTGGATTGCATACAAGAGACACACTTTAAACGCGGTAGAGAGCCTGCTTTATTCACTAAACACTTTCCGGTTCAATATCATGCCGTAAATAATAGATCCAAATGATAAATACATCTTTGTTACAGGGTTGTTTAATGATATTCAATATCCCATTGTCTCTGTATATTTCCCAAATGAAAATCAAAAAAACTTCCTTCAATCTCTCTTATACATAATGGATAGGTTTAAACAAGATTATGTAATACTGTGTGGAGATTCAATCACCTTCATGGGACACCACTGCTAAATTAAGTGGGAAGAGCCTCAAAGGCTCTGTGGCGAGATGTAAAGCGTTCTCACACATCTTACAAAATTATGATTTTTATGACGCATGGCGAATATTCCATCCTGCTGAAAGGAATTATACCTTTTTTTTTATATTGTTCATAACACCTATACCCGAATCAATGCTTTTCTCACAGATCGACCGATTCTTCCCCAACTTTTTAAATGTAGCATTGGAGATATCACATGGTCCGATCACAGTCCAATATTTATTGAACTTTATGATTCCTTTCAGTTTAAAGGGACGTGGCGATTAAACAAATCTTTACTGATAGATGAAGCCTTTTCTACCTTTATTCACCGAGAACTTGAAGAGTATTTTAAGTTAAACGATTTAGATCATATAAATGTTATTATTATGATATTTATATGATATTTATAGAGCGCCGTCAAATTCCGCAGCGCTTTACAATGGGTGGACGAACAGACATGTAGTTGTAACCAGACAAGTTGGACACACAGGGCCCTGCTCAATGAGCTTACATGCTAGAGGGAGTGGGGTAAAATGACACAATAAGGTAAGGATAGTATTAGACTAATGACAGTTGCAGAAGAGGAATCAGTCAGGAGCTATTAACTATTAATTGATACGCTTTTATGAAGAAGCATAAAATACATTGTGTTTAGCTCATTAAGCTCTTCCAACTTTGATAAGTGATGATCAAACGGGGTTTGTGGCTGGACATCAGGGACTGTATAATACCAGAAAGCTAATGCTGATTATGGAACATTTAAGGAATACCAGACATGGCGGTCTATTTTTAGCACTAGATGCAGAAAAAGCATTTGGCCGCTTAGGATGGTCGTTCCTCAAACAAGTAATGGTTTCGTATGGATTCCCCCCTCAGTTTATAACCCACATTTTTGCACTTTTTATTGATCTACAAGCACAGTGTAACGGAGTCTTACCTGATAGGGAGTCCAGCTCGCAGAGTTATACGCTCACCCTTGCAAAGTAGACACAGACCAGGGTGACCAGGTAAGACGCCACCTGGCCTGTGAGTCTGTGCACGGGGGCTTTCCAGGAAAAGTGCTCCAAGACTCAGTACAGCAGGGATTAGCAGAAGCGTGGTCAAGGGAAGCCAAAATCAGGGAAGCCAGAGGTCAGAGTAGTCCAGGAGGAAAGCCAAGGTCAGAAGCCAGAATAGACAAGAATCACTGGAACGCAGGTACAGAGTAACAGGAACCAAACAAGAGAACCAGAGTCAATGAACTGACACCCCTCCCAGGGTGAGGCAGGCTTTTATATCCTGTTAATTAGGATCAGATTCAGCTGGAGAGTAACTGACAGATCAGAGCCTTAAGTGAAGTCCAGACCCCTAGTGCTGCAGGCAATACAAGAACAAACAGGAGTTATCCAAAGTCCTGAAATGGCTCAGAGGGAAACTAGCAGGACACGGTCCAGAAGGACCACAGTTCAAATCCCCTATCGGGCGCTTCCGGAGCGACCACGTCTGGCAGACTGGATGTCACGGCGTGAACCGTGACACACAGGTACTCCAAGCAGGCTTCCTCTCCTCTGCTTTTAAAATCACTAACAGTACTCGCCAGGGATGCCCACTGTCCCAATTATGGTACTTTTGGCCTTAGAACCCCTACTGCACATAATTAGAACACATCCTGATATTTAAGGAATAGAATTGTGCAATAGAGAAATTAAAATCAGAGCATTCGCGGATGACATATTGTTATATATCACTGACCCCCTTAGTTACCTACCACCGCTCCTAGAAATCATACGAGAATATGGACAACACTCTAACTATTTGCTGTACGCCTCTGAAACACAAGCACTTACCATAGGGATAGATAAATTAGTTCTTACCATCTTACACTCCACATATAATTTTGAATGGAGAAGACACAACCTTAAATATCGAAGTGTTACATTTACAAAACAAATTAAAGATTTTTTTCCCCACAAACTACATTAGAATTTGGAATGAGTGTCAACACATATTACATAAACGGAGCCCTTTATTTCTTACTTGGACAGAACGGATAGTAGCGTTCAAAATGTCTATACTCCCGAGGCTACAATATTTGTTTCGGACTTTACCACTTACCCTTCCCATGTCATTTTTTAGAACAGTACAAAAAGATCTATTAAAATTTATTTGGACCTGGGGGAAACCTAGAGTGGCACTGAAAAATCTTAATAGCTCCGTTGCATGAGGGAGGCCTGGTGGTCCCTGACGTTAAAAAATATTATCATGCATCAATCTTAGCCTCTACCCTCCCACATTTTTTAAACAGATCTCCACCACAATGGGTATCTATGAAAAAGAAAATATTAAAACCATATACTCTCCATAGTTTGTTGTGGCTTCCTAAGCGGTGTGATAGAATTTATCTTGATTCCAAGGCTCAAGCTTGTAGGTGTCATATAATGATATCCTATATTAAAATTGGCTAACTTGGACTCAGGAAATGCTTGATGCTTAAACAACACTTAAGACCATATTAAGTTCTGGGAGCAGAGAGCCCCCACCTAAGATGTCTCTGCTCTAATAATTTTGTTCTCTCTTACCTTGAAACTTATTTGTTATGCGTACATGACGCACATCCCTATGTCTTATCTGTACTCCCTTCCTATTACTGTTCTAAGAGTATTTGCATGTAAGCACTTACTTTTTAATGTATAAAACCCAGCTGATGAATAAAACGTCAGAGGCTTATTTTGAATACCAACAAGTGTCTGGTGTCTAATTCTCACTTCTCCAAGTGCACTTGTAACAACAATTTGGGCTTCCTCTGAATATAACAAAGATCAACATTCTGATCCACAACAATTTGGTGCCGAAACCCGGGATCTGGCGGTCGAGAGACTCGGACACTAGCGTACAGGTGGACGTCCCTCTGACAGTGAAATCAGCTGTACAGGAAGGTAAGAAAAACTTTTTTTCTACCTTGATCAATTTCGCTCTCAGATCCATGTCTGGGTAAAGAACGACTTAAAAACGTTTGATCTAAAGAACTTGTTTTCTGTGGTATTATGGTTATATTCAGGTGGAGGTTGTGTTATGTCTTGTGAAAGGAATCTTGAGTTAGTAGAATATAACTGTGGGTTGTAAGTTATTTTTATTGTTTGCCCTGTCATTTGTTTTATAATTTGAGTTAGAATCCTCCAAGGGCAGATCTCCTGATCTGTGTTTAGAAGACAAAACTGGGAAAATTCCACTGCAGCGGTCCTATGTGTAAATACACTGTTTTTATACAGTTTGTCTTGTGTAAGGAAGTAATTAACCCTTACAAGTTTTAAGATGGGTAGCTCTGAAAGTACCCAAGGGGGATTTACGGCTTTGACTATTGTCAAGCATCACAAAGGACAAGGAGCAATTAGGAATGTTAAGAGGTTACTTAAGAAAGCTGGCATGCCCTCAGAAGGCACTCTAGACCCACATATATGGAATGAATTTATGGCAAATTACAGAGGTGGGTTAGAAGATAATGACTTATTAGAAGTCGCACAAAAATGGCACGATACTGCTGTTGAATTAACTAAATGTGGTTGTAGAGAAACCACAAGGAAAGGTGTACCATATTATCAATGTTTTGGACCTCTAGGGTCCCAGAGTAGGCAAGATCCTGGGAAAAATCTTGTAAACCCACCCCTTTACCAGGATACTGTAGGAACTTCTTTGGTCCCAAAAGGCCAGGCGATTTCCCTTTTACGGAGATCAAAACCTCTCTTTCCAGTAATATTACGCAGTGGGACTTCATATGGGTAAGACCTATGGGTTCATTAGAGCAGGAAGGTAGTCCGGACTTAAAGGAACCCCTAGTTGCCCCCACAGACACCCCAGTGGGGCCATTAGCTCCATAATTTTTTACTCCCATGATACCCAAAGTTGAGAGCGTATACCATGAGCACAGACAGCCAAGCTCAGGTATCCAATACTGGGAAGAATATAAGCCCTGGACACCCAGTGAACAACTGACAATAATACAGCAGCTGGCAGATGTTGAAAAGGCCCCCTTAGCTCTAGTCCAGTCTCTATCCACAATTCAAGCTACTTACCAGTGTACTTGTATGGATTTAAAACAGATTGTGGCACTAAAAGCTGGCCCCATTTGAGCTAGAATAATTGCTAAATATACAGATGCCCATGAAGATAACCTCAGAAAAAGCAACATGCAAACAGATGAATGGTTTAGAACCAAGTCTGCATCTGGAGCATGCTATGTCACTGCAATGAGAGAATGGGCTAAGGTAAAGACAGAGGAACTAGCCCATAAATTAGGAGATATACTACAAGGGAAAGATGAAACTGTAGAAGCATTCTTCACCAGACTACAAATGGCTTGGGAGGCATTGGGTTACACTGATGTTGTAACCACTTCGACCAGACTGCTTATTAATTGCTTCATGGATGGTATCCACATACCCATAAGGACTGGTCTCCAAAATGCTAGACCTGAGTGGAGAAGTTTAACCTATGGTGATCTGGTGAAGGTGGCTAGGGGAGTGGAAGCTAATCTAAATACTAGAAAGAGGAGCACACCTCTAATGGCTGTAACTGTCCATAGAGCTGGTGGAGACAGAAGGCAGGTAGACTGCTGGAATTGTGGCAGGAAAGGACACATTAAACGTAACTGCAAGTGTCCTCCTAAAAATAGAAAACCCCAAGATTCTAATGATAACTCCCATGACAGCCAACCACCACCACCCCCACCCCCCCAATATGAAATTGGCAAACCAGTGTCCCTACATATCATAAATATCCCTGACTCTGCTGGACCCTCACCCATTATCAATGTTACACTGCCTGGGGACCGAATAGTCCCTTTCCTGTTGGACACTGACGCTGCTAAATCAATGTTACAGGAAAAATATGTTGTTCCGTATGAGAAATGATGTATTATCATGTGTAGGGGTGGATGGTATCGAAAATGACATTCCCCTTACCCAAGCTGAAATTGAAGCTACACGACTCTACTGCCCTTGTAATCAGGCTACTTGTCAGCCCTCATGCCCCTGCTAATCTACTAGGCAGTGATATACTGTCTGCTCTTAGTGCAAATATCCAGTATAGCCCTACTGGAAAAGTAACATTGTCTGTGCCTTTAGAGGACAAACAAATGATATCTCTTTCAAATGTTCTGGCAACTCTTTGGGGCAAGCGGTAAACTTGGACAGTATTGCCACAGGGCCCACAAAACTCACCCACTATGTACAGCATGGCTATGGCCCAGATTCTTGAGGAGTGGAAAAGGCCAAATAACGTAATTTTATTGCGGTATATCGATGACCTATTCCTATGTTGCGATAATATGGAATCTTGTATTGTAAACACTCTTTCCTTACTGAAATTCTTGGCAGAGGCAGACTGCAGTTCAAACTATTACACCCCCCGCAGCCTAGCCCAGCTACGATTTATACTGCCGTCCTTGGCTTCTACAGCAATCTACATGCAGCCCATGTATGATTGTCTCGCCAACAAAAACAAACCCTTTATATTAACCCTTGCAGCAGAAAATGCTACATCTGTCCTTACACAGGACCATGATGGTAAACAATGACCAATAGCTTACTACTCCAACAGAATGGACCCTGTTGCCAGGGGTGCCCCCTCATGTGTTAGGGCAGTGGCGGCTGTTACTGCCCTCCTGGACAAAGCCACTGATATTGTTTTAGATAATCCGGTGACCATATACACACCGCATGATATCAACAGCATACTCTCACAAGTTCAAACAAAACACATACATACTGCAAGGCATCTCAGAATGCAATGTGCCTTGCTTATGCCACCTAATGTTACTCTTAAAAGTAAAATCCATCTACATTGCTTCCTCTGGATTTAAAAGAGGGGAGTGGGGATAGTGGGAATGGTACTTGTACTTATGATCTTTTTGTAAATTCACTTTCACCAGATGAGTTAGCTGATGCCCAGGTACCCCATGATTGTGCAGCACAAATGGCACAAGAAACAGCAGGTTTTTTGCATGTAATTGATTCTCCATTATCTAATGCAGATTTTGAGTTTTTTGTAGATGGTTCCTGATATGCTGATGAGAAGGGTAATTTCCACACTGGATATGCTGTAGTCTCTGCACATGAGGTAATAAAAGCTGAACCACTCGCTCCTCACTGCTCTGCACAGGAGGCAGAGCTGAAGGCACTCGCTGAAGCGTGTAAAATGGCTTCTGTCTGGTAAGACTGCTAATATTTATACAGACTCTTGCTATGCTTTTGGTATAGCCCATGATTTTGGCTCGTGATTTTCTCACCTCAGCAGGAACTCCAATCAAGAACTCTGAAGCCGTGAGTGCACTTATGGACGCTATCCTGCTACCCACTCAAGTAGGCATCATCAAGGCGGCAGCTCATGTGAAGATCACAGATGAAATCTCAAGAGGAAACCACAAAGCAGACGAAGCTGCCAAGCAAGCAGCAATCCAAGTTCATCCCTCTACAGGTAATACCTTCCTACAAGTTGTTCTTACAGATGACGCCGTTGACTACAATATTCATATATATACTGTTGAGCTTACAAAGACAGGCAAGCAAGGAAGAACATGACCTCTGGAGGAAACAAGATGCAGAACCTGTTGATGACAGAATGTGGAGGAAAGGTAAAAGACTGTGTTTGCCACGAGTGTTGTACCCCATGATGTCCCAGATTGCCCATGGAACTACGCATCTATCCAAGATGCACATGAACAGCATAGTAAACACCCATTAGCACCCGGATTTACTGTTGTAGCAGCTAAACACACCCAAGCTTGCATGATTTGTGCTAGAAACAATCCAGGTCACGCTGTCAAAACACCAAGTAAGCACACACCAAGGCCACTTTACCCGTTTCAAAGACTGCAGATAGACTATATTCAACTACCTAAGGTAGGAGTGTATGAATATATGTTGGTGTGCATTGATCTCTTTTCAGATTGGCCTGAGGCCTACCCAGTGTCGAAAGCCACAACGAAGGTCACAGCAAGTAAGCTTCTGAACGATTGAAAGTGACAGAGGTAGCCATTTCACTGGGGAAATAATGCAAGAAATTATGAAAGCCTTAGGGATCAGTCAGGCCTTCCACACCCCCTATCACCCCCAGAGTAGTGGGAAAGTAGAAAGGGCAAATGGCACCTTAAAGAACAAGATTGCAAAAGCCATGCAAGACACAGGGAAGCCCTGGACTGAATGCCTTCCCCTAGCACTCTTTTCTATGAGATTCACCCCCAATTCCAGACATGGCCTATCCCCTTTTGAGATCCTGTTTGGATGTGCCCCAAAGACAGGCCTCTATTTTCCCCAAGCCCTCCAGATGCAGCATGGTAGTATGACTGCCTATGTTCAGGCCCTACACCAAAGATTAGGCAGGGTGCATGAACAAGTCTTTGATTCTATTCCAGATCCAGACTCTGATTCTGCAACTCACAAACTGCAACCTGGTGATTGGGTGGTGATAAAGAGGCATGTGAGGAAAGGACTTGAACCACTCTCTGACGGTCCATTCCAAGTGCTCTTGACTATGGCTACCTCGATGAAACTAGAAGGAAAAGCCACGTGGATACACGCCAGTCACTGTAAACAAGTCACTCCGACTGATCCACTGACATGAAGCTGTTCTTATCCTTTACCATTTTATGCTCTGTTCGGATATGCTACTCTGACTTGAGACCAGAAAATAATAATGCATGGCAGGAAAATATATGGTTGCAGATAGCAAAGGCTTTTAATTTAACCTCCTTTTGCCTCAACCCTCTCCTCAGTACTGAAAGCGCCATAGAATCTTGTCTTATAGCTGTCCCTACCCCCATCTCACTGTTGAGGAAGTACCTTGGTAGGAGTCCCAGGCTTAGCACTGTATAATTCCCGAGTAGTTAATGCTGTAGCCTGTTCTCTTGCAAAAGGCTTAAATGCCACTTCACAGGCCCCAGAAGAGCTACTTATGGACAACCAGGCAAATAAGAAGGCAATCCTTGAGAATAGAGCAGCCAATGACTACTTACTAATGAAACATGACTTAGGCTGTGAAGCTATTGAAGGTATGTGCTGTTTTAACCTATCTGACCATGGCACTATGATCCATAAACATTTAAAAGATATACATGACTTAGTACAGGATATCAAACAGAATACTGGCTTCTTTGGGGATTGGGATTGGACATTTGGGCTAGGAACATGGTTAACTTTACTAATTAAGAAAATTTTGTACTTTTTGCTATTAGCTGTATTTGTCATTATGGCTATTTTTCTAACCTTTAGATTTTTTTCATGTCTACTAACCTCTCTATGTAAAAGCAAACCTACTGTTGGTCGTACCTTAACTTACATTCCAGCTCCGACTTCGGAAAGGTTTTATGATGTTACCTCGCCTAACAAATGAAGGAACTCTCCTCCGCTGATTCTGGTGGTCTCTCAGTCCAAGGGAACGGTGGTGAAGCAATAATTAAAAGTCCCACAGGCTTTGGCTAGCAGGCCTGGATATACCTTGGACATTTGGGTGACCCTTGGATCAAAAGAGGGGATTGTGATAGAATTTATCTTGATTCCAAGGCTCGAGCTTATAGGTGTCATATAATGATATCCTATATTAAAATTGGCTAACTTGGACTCTGGAAATGCTTGATGCTTAAACAACACTTAAGACCATATATGTCTAAGTTCTGGGAGCAGAGAGCCCCCACCTAAGATGTCTCTGCTCTAATCATTTTGTTCTCTCTTACCTTGAAACTTATTTGTTATGTGTACATGACGCTCATCCCTATGTCTTATCTGTACTCCCTTCCTATTACTGTTCTAAGAGTATTTGCACGTTAGCACTTACTTTTTAATGTATAAAACCCAGCTGATGAATAAAACGTCAGAGGCTTATTTTGAATACCAACAAGTGTCTGGTGTCTAATTCTCGCTTCTCCAAGTGCACTTGTAACAACAATTTGGGCTTCCTCTGAATATAACAAAGATCAACATTCTGATCCACAACAGCGGCTCCGACCCAGAGCCAAGATAACCTCGGCACAAATAGAACTAGCTGTTCGCACATGGGATAGGTTTAGAGAGATACTTGGTACAACTAATGGTTTGTCCATGGCAACCCCTTTGAAAGCTTTTCAGTTTTGTTTTCCTACATTCCATTCCAAATCATTGTTTGATTGTGGACTTAAGTTCCTATATCAAATATATTCTAATATGTTCTAGCACAAAACACTGTACGCACTACAACTTTAGTCTATAAATCAAGTAACCTTACATTCTGGGAAACGATATGTATAAATGGTGTTCTTCCTTACTCGTGTAAACCTATCTTCATATGTTACAGATCCCTAGTAGAGTATATGCCTTTCGCTGATGTGAAACCAGCGCATCAATGGTCCATAGATTTGGAACAAGAGATCATACAAGATAGATGGAAAGAGATTTTACCGACCACTAAAAAATGTATTAAATCTGTCCCTCTTTTAGAGCAACAGAGGAAGATGATTTATAGATGGTATATGGTACCGACTCGCATACATAAAATGTTTCCAACCTCTTCTCCAACTTGCTGGAGATGTCAATTGCATAGATTAACAGTGTTGCATGTGGTGGGAGTGTGAACGTATAATACCTGTGTCCATCTCTCTGTGTTTGGCTTCTGCATGCTTCCACTGTTACAATATTATCCACAACCTTTCTGCAAAAATAACAAATGCATCCCTCCCGTTCCAACCAACCACATGTTTTTCGTTTATTGGATTTACCTAAAGCTCTACCGAGCTCTAAGCAAAAATTTGTACTGCATATCCTCTTGACAGCTCAACGCTTAATAGCCAGATCTTGGAAATCACAAATTACTCCTCTTTCCACTTTATTATTGGAAATAGATAAACAGTATACATATGAAACCTTATATTTTCCCAACTCCCCACCTAATAAACAGGCGACAGAGGCTTGGAATAACTGGAACACATGGAGATTGGGAAACCCTATGGGATTTTGAGATGAGAAAACTAAGCCGATTTTGGCTGTCCCCATGGATTTGGTTAAAACTATGTAGTTAATAATAATCAGCACAATAAACCAAAGAATTTGTAAATCTTAGAGCACAGAGTGGGATCAATGTAAGACAAATGGCTTTATAATAATAAAATATGCTCAGGAAGTTGATTCCAGAAGGGGTAACTAGAAATGCAAATGGAACACATCTCTTTTGAAGGTTTTTTTTAATGCATACTGAATGTCCGTATTAATACCACTGTACCCTTATCCTTTCCCTTTTTTCTGTATCCCCTTCTATTTCCTGTTGTTGTGAATAATTTCCTAAATAACATTTCAAATAAAAAAATTTTTTTTTAAATGTACCACTTGAGAAAGCATACCTTTGGATTATGTGGAAAAGAAGGATAAAATAAATTACTGAAAATCACACCATATGGTTGATAAGGATAAGGTTTTGCTCATTTTTTACTCACTTTTATTCAATGGGGAGCTTTCAACCTATCAACAGCACCTGGTTAATGCTTCCTGATTGAAGCCGTGGCGCTGCTTAAGATGCGGGCAGAGCGATCAGACACTGTGTTGCACACTTTGGGGTTAAACCATTCATTAGCGGTTAAGTCCATTAATGTACGACTACAACATGGACCTACACCCACCATAACAACTTTTTAATAAAAAGTACCTAAAAAGATGCAAAAATAAACGCAGTATTTAAAATAAAAAACTATTTGTGCTATAGTAATGTGCAAAAATTCAAATAACGAATCACATAAAGTGCAAAACATGTTAAAACCATTTTGTGCATAAATATCAACTGCTTATGCAAAGAAGCCAAAAAAGTTCACTTAGTTTACTGCAGCAACCATAAAATTCCTGTGATACAAACAGTAAACAACAGTGAATGTGAAAAATAAATAAATTGTAGTATACTTATACATATGATTCCTTCCTTCATCACACTTACATCACACTCATCCACACAAATGAGTCGCTAGATTGTTGGGTAAAATCAGAATTGGCTATGAGAAATGTGCAGACCTTAATATATTTGTGGCATTGTCTCAGGATAACTTTGTGGCATTTTGGAGTTATGTGAAAGAAGCGCCCATGTCATGGCCTTTTGGAGAAGCTTGATGACAAGCCTCTTGCCAACAAACTATAGTCTTGAGGGGCTTGTGATTGTAGCAATTAAAAAACAAACCATTCATTGTTACTTGATAACTCTGCAGTGCCCTCTGCTGGCTGAATGGTGTACATTTGCATAATACTAGTATGCAAATCAGTGCTACCAAATAAGTAGCTAAATGTATATATTATTGCTCCTTATTGTGTTTGAAAATGTCACTTGCATTTCATAGTTCATGTATTAATTATAATTGCCCGTTCTCCAATGTTCTCTACTGTGACAAAGTGCCCTTCGCCACTTGGTCCTGGAGAGGCCTACTTGCCAGCCTCCTCCCCTGTGACTATGACTCTCTCATGTATCTGGCTTTAAAACCCCTAGTCTACCTTCAGACAGACTATTTATGTAGGCTGCTTTATTTCTCTTATGTTTTAGTCACCCTGTACCCATTATAGGTGCAGGGTGTGTGTAATGTAATTGTTTACAGTGTGTGTATATGTACTGTGTAATGTATTGCCTTCTCTCCTGTACTGCTGAGCTTTGCTACCAACTAGGTGGGTTTGGCTATGGAGCTTGTCTAGTGCCCTCTGTTGGTAGCAACAGCAATTTGCACTACCTGAATTGCAAGACTGGTTTATTTGCATATTCGGGTAGATTTGCATATTGCTAATTCTGCAGGCAGGTGAGATATTTAATGTTAAATATTGTCTCCCCCCACCCCTTTAAAAATGTACCATTGTGTTGTGATAAGTCACTGTGTGTTGCTTGATGTGTTTTGACTGTTTGTGATTTTATTGAGGTTTCACAACAATGTTATTGTGGTGACTGTATTGGCTGGTCCCAAGGGAATAAAGGTTTTGACAGTTCTTCTTGATCCCTCTACATGTAGCCTTGTCTCGTTATTGGAGGGAGCTGTTATAATCACACTGGGGATTGCTATGCTTTGCATGCTCCCCTGAGCTTGAATCACTTAGCTCTTTTAAGAGCTGTTCCTGTTACGCTCTCCTGGAGGAGAGGTCTTCCCCACACGGTCCTGGAGGACAGAAGCTGATCCAGGGTGGAAGGAAGATGGCGAGACTCCAGTTAAGCTCCGGCGGTTGTGGAGTCTGCGGTGGTTGTGGTGTCGGCTGCAGTGTTTGGAGTCCTCAGGAAGCGCTAGGAGCATCCATCAACGGAGGGTACTCGGTCGGAGTACAGGGAGCTCCGTTACATCTACATTTGTATTTTAAGTGCACAAAATTTTGAAATAAAAAAGAGGACAGTAGGACAGTATCAGTATGCACCTGATGAAGCCGTCCAGCCGAAACGCATTGTGCTTGTTTTAGGACGATTCTCTTCATGCAGCTTGTTGTGCTTCTTATAAGTAAGAATTTGTATTGATTTTTGAATAAATGTTTAGATTTTTCTTATAATTCTTGCTCATTATTCTTCACCCTATGATCATTGGGGGAGAGCACAGAAGCTGAGGAACTACATGTTTACATCCTATCTATGCTTATATACTTGAGCCAGTTTTTTATGCAGGCTCATTAAAATGTGAGTAGGATGCAACTATTACATAAATATTTATATTCACAGTGTGGACATTATACAGATTGTATTGCCCTATGTGAGCTTTTTCTCTTTTAGAAATTCCTTTGGATACAGTTAATTTAAAAGTGTATGTATCTTTATAACTACACTTTCTTGAACACTGTGCACATATTTGTAGAGTTGAGCGAACCCGGACTGTAAAGTTCAGGTTTGTACCGAACATTACGTTTTTTGGACCCCGGACCCGAATATGGATATATCAGTGTATGTTCGGGTTGGAGTTCGGCAATTTAATGGCGCGTTTTGAAAGGCTGCAGGGCAGCCAATCAACAAGCGTTTGACTCGTGTGCTCTTAGAAGACATCACAGCCATGCCTCCTAATGGCATGGCTGTGATTGGTCAGTGCAGCATGTGACCCAGCCTCTATATATAAGCTGGAGTCGCGTAGCGCCGCACGCACATGAGCTCTTATTAGTGTAGGGACAGGATGCTGCAGCTGTGAGGAACAGCTTTGGAAATAATTCTGCAAACTAGTACATTAGTGGGGTGCACTTCATATCTGAGAGTCAAATAGAAGCGTCAAATACTGTGGTTACATCAGAGTTTTAAAAAGTCAATTATTTTGGGTGCTAAACTGCTAAATAGTAAATTTGTGGCGTGCTCTTCATATCTGAGAGTCAAATAGAAGCGTCAAATACTGTTGTCACATTGCAGTTTTAAAACTTAAAATTTTTTGGGTGCTAATCTGCTAAATAGTAAATTTGGGGCATGCTCTTCATATCTGAGAGTCAAATAGAAGCGTCTAATACTGTGTTTGCAGCGCACTTTGACAAATTCCCATTTTTTTCCCAGACACTGTCCTTTGCAGACATTACATGCTGGAAAAACACAGGTGCCAACTGCTGTGGCTTTATGCAGTGTGCATACTGGCAAGGAGGGCAGGGTTGAGAAGTGGGTGGAAGATGATGTGGAGGATGATGAGGTCCTAGACCCCACATGGAATCAAGGTCATGCGAGTGACGTGTGCAGTTTGGAGGAAGAGGCGCTGGTCGCACAGAGGCACCAGCACCGCATAAAAGGGAGCAGGGTGCAAAAGCGGAGCGGCCGTCCCCTAGCGCTCGTCGGCATGTATTAGCTCGAGAATTACCAGTTATCCAAGTAATACATGTAGCGATCAAAGGATCCATAATAGAGTTGAGCCAGATATAACAATCCATTCATAGTTTCACAGTCAGGTGGGCAGTCCGATGACCAGGACCCAGACACTTACTGGGCGGCGGTCGGACGACCGGGACCCAGTATGCCTGATGTTGAAGTTAGGAGTCACAGTGTGGAACGGATTGGCAGGGTCTGGTGCAGGGTAACCACACGCCCCCTGGTGTTGAGCACCAGCGTTTGTGCGGCCACATACAAGGACCCTGATGCAGCTTCAGCGAGCAGCAGCAGGCTATAATGGAGTTTCAGCTGCAGCACGCACAGGCCCGTCGCTCTGCACCAGACTTGCTCTCCAATTGATCAGAGTTAAAGGATTTCAAATGGACTCATTACAATTACAGGGTCTCTAAAGAGTCCTGTATTGTTATTTGTCGTCACTACCTTCCCGTGTCGGGAGTGGGTCATTTGCGCGCCTGCTGCCTTCCTTGCATGTGTTAGCCGTTTCTCAGGCTCCCTCTCAGGAATCGAACCCTGATTCCCCGTTACCCGTGGTCACCATGGTAGGCGCAGAAAGTGGCATCGAAAGTGGCATCGAAAGTTGATATGGATGACATACAAATGCGTCGTCGCCTTGTCATTGGGGAGCCCATTGACGAGCTGGGTGATCTCCTCCGGGAACTTGGCTTTATGGGAGTTGAGCCAGTTCTGGGTGGCCCACGTGATGCGGCATAGCCACTCCACATGGGAGTTCTTCTCCCCTTTCTGGGTCTCCCTAAACTTTCGGTGGTATTGCTCGGGGGTGACCGCATACTGGGCCAGGAGGATTTGTGTAATAAAGGGATAGTCTCTGACCTGCTCTTCTGGTACAGCCCGGTAAATATTCGCTGCCTGTCCCACTAGTTTGCTGGCTAGGATGGTGACCTAGTCGCTGGGGTCCACGTCTTGGAGTAGGCACTGGCGCTCAAAGTCTTGTAAAAAGTAATTGATGCCTTCTTCTGCTTCCTTGAAGTCTTTGAAGGCATTGTATGGTAGCTTGTGGGCCAGGGTGGTTGTGCTTCCCAGCGCCCTCTGCTCCCTTCTTACTTCATCTGGGTTCATGGAGGTCGCCCTCCGTCTATTGGCAAGGACATGGGCTTGCACCTCCAAAAAGGTCCTGCTGACAATCTCCTCTGAGGGTGGCACTCGGTAATATGCTAGCCGCCGTTACACTTCCTTGTGCACTTTCTCCACATCTCCGGCCCCTGGCTGGGGTTCGTTACCTCACTGCATGCCTGGTCGTCCTCCATGAGCGCAGGAGTCAATTAGGCCTTGTTATGCCCACCAGGCGTTATTCCTCTGGCTCCCCAAAAGTAGGTCGCTTTAGAGCACTGTAGTCCATGGGTCTGTTGGCAGGGACATGGGATCCCACCGCTTGCCACCAATTGAAGCGGGACCTGGGTAACCGATGGTTATCTCCTTTGATTAGAATAGGTCAGACCCATTTCCCCAGTAACCGGATGGGACACAGTTCCAGAATACAACGCTTGACATTCTTTATTTGGGTACACAGCTTTGCCTCCTGTTGCCTCCTCCTCCTACTCCGCTTCTTCCTCCTCCTCCTCTACCACCTCCTCATCCGGTCAGCGTAACACCTTCACCACCAACTTCAGCACAGCAGGGGGAAACGACAACAGGCTGTTTTAAAACTCATATGTTTGGGGGAAAAACCCCACACTGCGCAGGAGCTGTGGACGGGCATGGAAAAACAGACCGATGAGTGGTTGTTGCCACTGAGCCTCAAGCCCGGCCTGGTGGTGTGCAATAATGGGCAAAATCTCGTAGCAGCTCTGGGCCTAGCCAGTTTTGACGCACATCCCTTGTCTGGCGCATGTGCTGAATTTGGTGGCGCAGAAATTCCTGAAAAACTATCCAGATATATCAGAGCTGCTGCAGAAAGTGCGGGCCGTCTGTGCACGCTTTTGGCGTTCTCACCCTGCTGCCGCTCACCTGTCTGCGCTGCAGCGTAACTTCGGCCTTCCCGCTCATCGCTTCATGAGACTGTGTGAGCAGCAGCAGGCGATAGTGGAGTTTCAGCTGCAGCACACATGGGTCAGTCGTCCTGCGGAACAGAGTTTTCTTTTTTTATATGTCCCAATATTTTTGGGGATACCCCAATTAAAAAACAAAACAAAAAACAAATAAAAAACAGTGTTGGCTACCTCCTCCTCCACCGCCGCTTCCACCTACACCTCCATGGTGTATACCCAGATATATCAGAGCTACTGCAAAAAGTGCGGGCAGTCTGTGCCTGCTTTCGGCGTTCTCACCCTGCTGCTGCTCGCCTGTCTGCATGCAGCGTAACTTCGGCCTTCCTGCTCACAGCCTCATGAGACTGTGCGAGCAGCAACAGGCGATAGTGGAGTTTTAGCTGCAGCACGCACGGGTCAATCGCTCTGCGGAACAGAGTTTTCTTTTTTTATATGTCCCAATATTTTGGGGGCTACCCCAATTAAAAAAAAACAAATAAAAACAGTGTTGGCTACCTCCTCCTCCACCGCCGCTTCCACCTACACCGCCACGGTCACCGCCTCCTCAACCTATGGGTCACTTAGTATAAACTATGTACACAATAGCAGAGGCTTGTGAAGGCCTTTTCTCCATGCATCAGGAGTTGAGCTCAGTTTGAACAATGAAAGAGAATACCCTGCACTCCAACCCGGACTTTTTTTCAAAGTTTGGCCGAACCCGCCGGACCCGAACATCCAGGTGTCCACTCAACTCTACATATTTGTTGTCACAATTTATATCTATTGTTAGAGCGCTATCCATCAAATTTTGTTTTGTTTCTATTCTATGTACTGTGTGGAATTAAGTGGTTGATTTCATGGTGATTTTTAGCAGCACTACTTCAACAACTTTTTTCTATATTATTCTAAATGTGGCATGTTGGAAAACTCAGACAATAATGCCAGTCCTTCGAGTGGCCAGACCTATCACTAGATACATAAATATGATTTATGTCTACTTTACATTATTGTATTTCCCCCCCCCCCCTTTTTTTTTACTTCTTACTATATCTTTTAATATTTTCATTTTTAATCAACTTTTAACTCTACTTTTAAATAAATATCTTTACATACTCCTTAAAAAAAATAAAGACTCCTATTCTTCTATACTTTTGTGATTCCCGGCATATTTAATCTTTATCACATGATCGACTTCAATGCATACATGCGCCATCATCCTTTGTCAACCCTTGTGATTGAACTAACTTTGCTCAGTTTATTTAAGCCTCTTGAAAGTCCAGTCACAGGATAAACTACTGTAACGGCTATCCAGGTTGTGAGGGGTATCAGCCGTTGGAGACGTCCTTCTTCCCGGCAAGATGCTGTGCTGCAGTGGAGTTGCGCTATTCAATCCACTGGATACTTGTAGAGAGTAAAGCAGAGCTCTTAAAAGAGCTTATGTTGAGCAGGTTCCCTTTCAATAACGAGACAAGACTATGTTTTGAAGGGTGAAGTAGAATTGATTTAATGACCACACAAGCAGCTGCTTTTATGCAGGGTTTACAGTATGGTTACCACCCACGTGGACCTTGTGTGGCACTAACAATGGGAATACAACAGCCAATCAGTTACAATTGTACAGTAAAAGCACACCCATGAATTACAATACATTCCTCCCCTCTGCTTAGGAGATAATTGAGTTAATCATTATATCAGCTCAATTATCTCCAAGCTAAAAAATATACTTTATGCATTTTCCATAACTTCAAAACTATGCATAGGATCTTAATAAAATACATTAATACGGCCCGCACTTTCTGCAGCAGCTCTGATATATCTGGATAGTTTTTCAGGAATTTCTGCGCCACCAAATTCAGCACATGCGCCAGACAAGGGATGTGCATCAAACTGGCTAGGCCCAGAGCTGCTACATTTAGGGGAACAACATATCCCAAAATGGCATGAACTGGACCAGTGGTTCGGGAGTTAGTGAAAAGGTGGATGTGACCGACCGCTCGCACATTTCTCTGCCCAAAATATTTCCACAATTTTAGTCTCTGCGGTCGGTCTATTCTCCTTTTGTAATAAGTCTAAAATGCACGAACGGAACTGTTCATGCCTGCCATCACTGGAACTAGTTTGTTCAGATGAACAAACTCACAAATTAGCGCCTTGTTCGTATGAGTCTATTTGAACGCACAGAATGTAGAAGTTCAGCTGTGTTTGTGGAAAAAGGTAGCCGAAAACAGTTCCACGCGGTCGACGACCAAACGAGTTGTTCGACTAAACAAAATGGCCACTGCCACGTGTTCGCACAGACGAACGCCGACCGTTAATCCATTGGAACGATGGGGTGTTTGCAGTTTATAACACCCTGCTCTGGGTGGTCGGTCGTTCGACAAAAAATTCTGTATTCGAACAGTTAGGGCCAAATGCACGATTAGTCACTTTGGGGAATGCAAATACACGAACAGTCTTTGTTCTCAGTGATAGGAAGCAATGTTAATGACTGTAAGGAACAGGTTTTGGGTACAATGTTGGGCTGAGGTTTTCAGGCAATACTGTAGGTTCTGTTACAACTACTCTATTCCCCATAATTCCCAGTTCCGGTTTAGCCTGATTACGTGATTGGAATCTGTGGCTTTTGTCTGGTCAGATCACTTAAACTGAAACTACAGTTTCCATGCATTTGTGCTCATATTTTAAATCAACAGACTGTCATTCCAATACATAGAAACTCTTCAGGCCCTATGTTGGCTACCCATTTCGTTGATGCCTGATCTCCATATATTATAACAAACAAAGAAAAGCACCCTTGTGTTAATATAAATGTATAAGTTAGTTTAACCAGCTCAGGCCCATACATCTTTCTTGTTATTTGTTTTTTTTCAATTTGACATTTTTTATTGTTTAATGTAAGAATGGGGGTACAGTACAGAAAAGAAAAGAAAAGGGTATGGGAGTTCAGATTTTATGCATTTAGCACAGTGTGTCCATGCAGCGAGTACATTATTTGTTCAGTTGGAACAGGCAATCCAGAATTTACATCGTATGCAAGAAACATAAACATTGTAATGTCATATGATACTATTCACAACATAGTGTTAGGCCTAATTACTTAGGCTATACTACAAGTAGCACCTTAGGCGTTGTTTTAGGTCTCCGTGGATGCCCTGTATAGAGGATTCACAGTGTGTGTGCCATGAGGCCTTAAGTGAAATAACGTGTTCCAGGCATGGCCAACTGGGTCTCTGACCTGTAGGACTACTAGCCCCGTGGGAGACGGTTTGTTGCCTTCTCAGTACAGGTTGTGTCTTTGGTGTCACAATTCCGGAACCTAACACGCTAACAGGTCACAGAGAGGAAAGATGCCTTAGAGTGGCCGGGCTAAGCACACTAAGAATAGTCAAACGACAAGCCAAGTAAAGGGAGCCAGAAAACGGGAGAACGAGAAACAAGCTGAGGTCAAAGGAGTGGAGAATACAGGAAAATCATAATAACGAGCCAAATAATCGGTAACCAGAGAGCAACACGAGAAAACTGCACTACAGGTATCACAAAACACAACAGGGCACTGAGAGACAGGAAAGGTAAGTATTTATATCCTTTGCGTAATTCTGATTGGATAACTTCCAATCAGAATTAACAATCACACGTGGGAGATATCTACACCTCCCACTGTGATTATGGTACTGTTGCTTTAACGCCGGGTCACGTGACTGACCCCGGCGTTCACATAAATGCGCAGGCTCCCAGCGTGCATTGTTATACATGCTGCCGCTGGGAGGCGAGGAGGAGGACGCGAACGGCGCGCAGGGGAAAGGAGACGCCGCTCGCCGACAGGTAAGAGGAGGGGAGCCCTGACATATCCACCCCCTCGAGCCCCCCGAAGGCTTCAAAGGAATCCGCGCATGAAAGGAGTGGATCAAGGAGGGCGCAGTCAAGTCAGAGGCAGAAACCCAAGACCGCTCCTCAGGGCCGTAACCCTTCCAATCCACCAGATACTGCAACCGACCCCGAGAAAAACGAGAATCAAGCAGAGCAGCCACTTCGTACACGTCACTGGAGACAGCGCGGAGGGAATCCGGACACCTGAGAGGACCAGAGAACCGATTACAGAGCAAGGGCTTCAAAAGGGAGGTGTGAAAAGTGTTAGGTATACAAATGGAAGGAGGCAAGGCCAGGGAGTAGGACACAAGATTCACCTTACGCAATACCTTAGAGGGGCCAAGGAACCTGGGCGCGAATTTCATCGAAGGAACCCTGAGGCGGAGATTCTTAGAGGACAACCAAACCCTATCACCCGGGGCATAAGAAGGAGCCGCACCCCTACGACGATCAGCAAATCTCTTCTGATTAGCAGCCGCATCTTCCGTAAGGAGGTGAGGTGCTCGTCCAAAGCGGGCATTCCCTTGTCGGAGAACACGCTGGGAAGGACAGAGGGTTGGAACCCATAAGCTACCATAAAAAGACTTAGGTCAGTGGACGAATGAGTCACAGTGTTCCTGGTGAATTCAGCCCAGGGAAGGAGGTGAGACCAGTTGTCCTGGTGCGCATTCTTGAAGCAGCGTAAATGTAACTCCACAGATTGATTTGCCCGTTCGGCAGCCCCATTAGATTGTGGATGATAGGAGGAAGTAAATGACAAGGAGATCCCCATCTCAGCACAAAAGCCCCTCCAAAACCGAGAGACAAATTGAGGACCCCTGTCGGATACGATATCCTGTGGTATATCATGCAAGCGGAACACCTCTTTGGCAAATACCTGAGCCAACTGAACCGCAGAAGGTAGTTTTTTAAGTGGAATAAAGTGTGCCATTTTAGAGAACCTATCAGTCACAGTCAAAATTACTGTCTGTCCATCAGATGAAGGAAGATCTACAATGAAGTCCATGGATAAGTGGGTCCATGGTTTCTTGGGTACCGCAAGTAGGTCCTAAAGTAAAATAAGTGGGGACCTATTGTCCTCCCCCGGCCCCCACCCATGAGCGGTGGGTGGGGGCCCTAAAGTAAAGTAATGGGGGGGGACCTATAGTCCTCCCCCCTGGCCCCCACCCCTGAGCAGCGGGTGGGGGCCCTAAATCAGAATAGGGGGGGAACTAATGTCCTACCCCCTGGCCCCCACCACTGAGCGGTGGGTGGGGGCCCTAAATACTAATTGGGGGGGACCTAATGTCCTCCCCCCGGTCCCCACCCCTAAACAGTCGGTGGGGGTCCAAAATAAGAATGAGGGGGGAGGACCTAATGTCCTCCCCCCTGGCCCACACCCCTGAGCGGTGGGTGGGGGCCCTAAATTAGAATGAGGGGGGAGGAGCTAATGTCCTCCCCCTGGCCCTCACCTCTGAGCGGTGGGTGGGGGCCCTAAATACTAATTGGGGGGAGGACCTAATGTCCTCCCCCCTGGCCCCCACCCCTGAGCGGTGGGTGGGGGCCCTAAATTAGAATGACGCGGGAGGTTCTAATGTCCTTCCCCCCTGGCCCCCACCCCTGAGTGGTGGGTGGGGGCCCTAAATACTAATTAGGGGGGGACCTAATGTCCTCCCCCCTGGCCCCCACCCAGCAGTCGAGTGGGGGCCCTAAATAAAAAAATAATCCCCCTCCCCAGGTGACTATGGGTCCCCAAACCCCTAGTCACCCCCATCCCCCAAAAAATTAACCCCTACCTCCCCCCCCATTTAATTAAGTACCTTTAAAAAAATTTAAATAAACTTACCATTTGATGTTTTCTTTCTTCTAAAATCTTCTTTTTTCCGCCCCCAAAAAAGCCAAATAAAAATCCATAATAACCGACACAATTAAAACAAAAAACAAAAACAAGCGCAAAAAAAAAATCAATCTATCTTCACCCGGTGAGGGCTCCACGCAGACTGAGCCCTGCAATTAGGCTCAGAGAACTCTGATTGGTGGGTTTAAGCCATCCAATCAGAGTGCTCTGACAGGTAAATGAAGAGACTGACAGGTAAGTCTCTACATTTACCTGTCACAGCACTCTGATTGGTTGGTTTGAAATCCACCAATCAGAGTGCTCTGTGTCATTTTACACAGCGTGGGAAAGTTATTTGGAATTTTCCCACGCTGTGTAATTTGACTCATTACTCTCTGATAATACTGCAGTTCACAAACTGTCTGCCCCAGCCCCTACTTCATCGACCCTACTTTATTCAGGAAGCAATTTATGCAGTAAGAATTGCAATTAGCATGTTATTTCCCCATGATTAAATTATTGTAGGACACACTGATTATTATTATTTTGAAAATGCCAACAAATTCTGTAGAACTATACAAAAGGTGGACTAGCAGACATGTATTTGCAACAAGTCAAGTTGTACGCACAGGAAAAAAAGGGCCCTGCTCAAACGAGCTTACATTCTAGAGGTTGTGGAATAAGGTGGCACAAGAGGCAAGGGTAGGATGTATTTCGTGTATGGGAAAAAGTAGGTTACTAGAATAGTTTACAGTGAAGGGTTAGTTTATTGAATGACACAGTTGCATGAAGGGGGGGGGTGAAAGATATTAACAATTTTATTTATATGCTTTCCTAAAGAAGCAAGTTTTAATGTTATTTTGAAGGAACTGAGTCTGGGTGAGAGTCGGAGCCGAGAAGGGAGTTACATAGAAACAGCTGCGCCATTTATTTGGGAGATAGACACGAGAGTAGCAACACTTGAGGGAGGAAAGATTAGAAGCTCTGTTTTGGAAAGGTTAAGTTTAAGAAAATTAGCATCCATTATACATGTATTCTGCAGTTTCACTCCGTGAGACGATGCTGGATGCCCTTGTGCTTTGCATAAAGATGTCTAATGTCTTCAAATCCCTTATAGGAAAAATTAAAGGATCACTATAGTGTCAGGAAAACAAACTCGTTGTCCTGACACTATATCATCCTTAGGTTCCCCCCTCCCCCGACCCTCAGGGTCCCCCTCCCTTGGCACTTAAGGGGTTAAAACCCCTTCAGCTACTTATTTTAATACAGCGCCGGGTTCCCTCTGCTCTGGTGACCTCTCTTCCCCCGCTAACGTCAGCTCCCGCGTGGAGCGGAATGCGCGTCAAGAGCCGCGCGTGCATTTAGCAGTCCATAGGAAAGCATTTCTCAATGCTTTCCTATGGACGTTCTGCACGCTGGATGCGATTTTCGCTTCCAGCGTCGCAGAAGCGCCTCTTGCAGCTGTCAGGAAGACAGCCACTAGAGCTAGGTGCTGTCTTATAGGCTGGATTATGCCTGCAATATAAACAGAAACGGCTATGTTTACATCTGAAGGGTTAAAACCTGGGGGACCTGGCACCCAGACCACTTCATTGAGCTGAAGTGGTCTGGGTGACTATAGTGCCCTTTAATTCAATGCTTTCCTATTGGGAAGGCATAATGCATGTGCGGCTCTTGCCGACGTCGGAGGGGACAGAGCTTGCCGCTGGGAAGAGGTAAGTGTTTAACTCTTTCAACAGCAAGGGGCAGAAATTAACTTTAGGGCAGAGGGACACTATATTGCTAGCAATACCGTTTTTATATTCCTAATGCTATAGTGTTCCTTTAACACAGTATGGCCACATGGTGTAACTGTATCCTTATGTTTGTTTTCCAAGATAGGTGATTTTCAGTAGTCATGTAAAATTGAAGTCTGTATTTATTTTGTGTGCGCTGTTCCTTAAGCTTTATTTTGTTTTTTACTGCAGCACCATTGCTGAGAAATGCATGTTCCCGTTGTGCTTCTAATTCTCATTTTACTTTATTCCACAGACATGTGGTTTCTCCTGAAGGAGAAGACTAGAAACATAGTAAAACTATTTTCTCAATAAATATTATAGCGGTAGATACTTTTATACTGTGGAAACTCCAATCACTTTTCCATTAATGGGACAACTCCCATCACACTCCGATATCACTCTGGTAACTCAAATCACTTTCAGCTACAAGTGGCAACATCTGGCAAAACCCATCGCATTCTGACATTAAAGAGCACACATTATGTCAACTTTCCAACAGACAGCCAATGGGCAATTCCCTTATGGTGAGCACAACCTCCCATCACGGCCAGTTCTTTGGGACTTATCACTCTCTTGGGATGATATGTCTCCATCACTCTCAGTTTTCGAGTCAACTGCACAGACCAACTCCTATCACAATTAGCCATCAAATGGGCGGTGCGCAATATATCCACTGAGTTTGACAGCATTATAACTTGAGTAAATTTTTTTAGACATTTAAATTTTCCATTGGTTTTGAAAAACTTCAGCTTCTGGGCAGTTTGTCTAGCATTTTTTTTTTTTTAAATCCCCCCTTGGATACTGCCCAATGCATGGTATAAATAAACTCCATGCCAATGCCCAAACTCCCCCAGAGGCAGTAAGACTGCCCACATTAACATGGATTCAAAATGCGTACTTTGCTATTACTGTCGTCTCCTACCAACTCCTACACTGTAATTGGCTACTAAAACACTGGCACGCTATTTAAATGTAAGCAACTTCGTTGTGTGGAAGGCGGGACCATGTGCGTCTCCAATCAATAACACTCACAAGATGGCGGAAGTGAATCTCCGTACAGTTCCTTTTTCTTTTATTGCGCATGCGTGCGGACACGGCCACCAATCAGCGCCGCCCTGGGCGCGCATGCGCTTATGTAGCTCTCTCGACCTGCGCATGCGCGGCAGTTTAAAACCCAAGGCAAGGCGAGCGTTCGGAACTTGGCTGCTCTTGGTAAATACGATGTCGGGTCTGCGGGGAACGTGGAACGGCACGCAGCTCAGCGACCGTTACAAGGACCGCACCGTTATCGGGTGACTGAAGGCTAATGGCTGTCCCACGTGGGGGGCTGGAGGTTGCATTCAACTAGTGTGTGACTTCTTGTAAACCTAGTAATGTCAGCCTGTTGTCATTTCTACTGGTTTAAAGACGTGCTGAATAGTTTCTTTCCGGTAATGAGCAGTAAGACAGTGTTTTACCGACCTGTATACCTGTGACCATCACCACCAGCAGTGCCATACCTGTGACCATCACCACCAGCAGTGCCATACCTGTGACCATCACCACCAGCAGTGCTTAACATGATGCAGGCTGTCCTGTTGGTGTTCAGTGGATTAAAATGGACATTCGAGCTGCTGCTCTTAATACTGGACCTGAACTACTGGCTGGTGTCAAGCCTCTTTTCATTTTTGTTCTGGACTGTACATTTCATATGGAACTTACCAGTTCTCATCAACATGGGACTGGTGCATACCTGGGAGGTTCTATTGGCCCACATAGCCAGAATGGGTGATTCCTGCTACACTATGGTGCTGAGCACTTTGCAGACCACAAGTAATGCTTTGAAAGGATGCCTGGCTGGCTTAGATGGCCTTCAATTGGTATGGAACCTGCTGTGCCACCTTTTCCTTCGAACCAAGGAGATAATGCAGCGTGGCCTACTTAACATTGCCTTGTCTGGGCAGACTATTCAGCGCCAGGTGTGGGAGGTGCTAACTATAGCAGCAAGCTTGGGAGCCTACCTTGTGAACAGTTTGGTCAATATATGTCTTATTGCTATGCAAAATGTCTTCTCGTCAGTGCTAGCCGTTTGGACGAATTTAGTCCATGCCATTGTCACTTTAGAGCAGCTGGCCATAGCCGTAGTCTCTCAACTTTCCAGCAACGCCGTGGCTGTTGCTATTTTATTGTGGAGTCCATGCCAGCATGCTCTGGAAGTTGTGGCATCACTTAGCCAGAACCTAGGAATAATAATCATCAAAGATCTCTACATGATCCCAGTACTGGTCTTACTCATTTTAGTCTGGTGTTTGCTAAGGAGTCCTGCAACACCTGTCTTCCAACAGTTTTGCGATACAATGAGCAGGCTTTACCAAATATTTAGGATGTTTGTTTTTGTTCTGATAAACTCAGAGATTTGGACGTGGGCAGCCAACAAGTATCTTCAACTTATAAGAATATCCAGGACTGTTATGGAGTTGGCCTGGAATCTAATAAGAACTAGGCCACAAAACACACAAGTGAGACCTGTTACAGCACAGAACAATAACACAAGGTCAATCTGGGTTCGGAATAGGGTACCTCTCCGCATACAGAATCCAGTTCCAAGGCCTGCTCAGAATCCTATCCATGTTCCTGTGCAAGACCCTGTTCCTGGACCGTCTGGTAGTCAGCGCAAACCCGAAGCCCCCAAAGTGGATGAACATGCATCAGGAGAAGACCCGTGGAAGCTTCTCCAACAACAAGAAGAGAGCAAAAAATGTGTTATATGCCAAGATGAGAACAAAACTATCCTCCTTCTTCCCTGTCGCCATCTTTGTCTGTGCGCTGCCTGCAACCACATATTGTTGCAACAGCCTATTCTACAACGAAACTGCCCCTTATGTAGGAAGATGATCTTGCAATCCTTGAATGTCTATATCTAATAAACAGCTATTCTGAAGTAAGCAAGCAGCACTTTACTTAAGGTTAACTTTAACCTATGGCTTTTATGTGAAAGTTCAGAAAAAGTTTGATTAAAAGGATATTCTAAGCACCAAAACTACTTTTGCTCACAGAAGCAGTTCCAATGTATAGATCACATCCTTGCAGTTTCACTGCTCAAATTTCTGCCGTCTAGGAATTAAACTACTTTTGTGTTTGTGCTCCCCCGGCTGTGACTCACGCATTTAACATAAAAATAAATGGTTTCATTTTCAATCCTCATATTATATTCGCATTAGAATGTTATCTCCTGCTCTGTTAATTGAACTCTTATCACATACAGAATGCTTCTGTAGGCTCTAGCCGGTTATTAACCGTGTAAGAGATAAGACATTCAAACTTAGACTGTGTAATGAAGCGTAAACATTTCTCTCTTTACAAGAAATGTGAAGAATACATGCAAAGGACATGCGGCTAGAGCTGCATAAGCAAAGTGATTTAAATGAGCAGTTAGACGGCAGGGTATGATCCATACGCCAAAACCATGCCATTAAGCTAATGTTTTGTCGTTGATAATGTCCCTTGTATGTTGGGAACATGCTTTAAAATGTGGATTGAAAATATAGGATCCATACTGCCTTTATTGAAGCCTGTATAAAATGTACATTCCTAACATGTTTGTAATATTTTAGATCAGTCACATGGCACAACTTTTAAATGTATTCATATATTTTTTTGGGGGGGGGGGTGCAAGAGGGCTCTAGTAAACTTGCTAGAGCTAGAATGAACTGACATACATCTTTTTTTCATTTCTCCACCTATAATTTCATTAACAAACTGTTACCTCAAGAGAATACTGTCACTTTTGTTAAGAGATTTTTTTTTTTTTATATATAACTGTATAAAATCTTTTATTTGAATTCATCATTTTCTGTTGGCGCTGTCAGTCATTAAACTTGTCAGTGATTTACTTTGGTTTTTCTGGGGAAAATTTCAAGCTAAAGGGACAATCCCCAACATGTCTTCAAAGAAAAAATGTCCTTGTTAACATCTGTAGCATTGGGCATATTCATTTTTAGAATTTATGGAAATTGGTCTTTAAACAAATGTTTAAAGGGTACTTTGAGCAATGTATGTTGCCTATTCCCTTGACAGGGTCTCTTGCTTTAATATCAAACTATTTAGAAACTGATTATACTTTTTTTTTTTTTTTATTGGCCACAGTGCTTGAAGAAGTGTGGAATATGCAGAAATACACAGTTAAACCGTTATTTCGTAAATTACATTTGAAAGAATACAGCCACGCAGGGCTGAGTAAACATATAACAAGAAGATAAGTAAAGACTCCAAAGTCCGCAATCCAATTACATGGCATATTGTACAGGTTAAACACTTTTATATATTCGAACGTGGTGCCACGTTCCAGTGAACCTTACCCTCAAAGTTGTAATAAGGTACTTGTGTACAGGCATCTGTCTGGCTAATTCCCTAACCACTAGATTAACATCTCGGTAGCTTTGATAATGCGGAATTTTAGGACCATGAGTGCTGCTAAAAAAGCATAGTGTTGGAACATCACTGAAAAATGTATTTTGTTTTTTTCAACAGTGTTTTAAACATTTTATAAAGCGGAAAGCAATATTGATACTGATAAGTCAGGTGTCCAAGAAACAACATTCCAACCTACTGACACAGAAAAGTATTCTGTCTGCTTGAGTTGAATGTATACTACTTCAAGAAATGTTATCGGCAAGCTGAATTGATTATGTTGGACCAAAAATTTGAGGTTTAGCATTAAATGCTGACAATTCTGTTATTCTGATCCTTTTTTGCCTGGGTTGTAGATCTGCATTTGGCTCCTGTAAAACAACTTGCAAAAATATTGTATGCACATGCACAGCTTGGTCTGAGCGCCCTGTGCTTGCTAGGAGAATGTGCCATGGGTCAGAGGAGACCTCCCACGGAACGTCTCTCTGCTCTCGACCCATTGCAACCACAGAGCCTGCTATGGTAGCTCCCTAACCGGCGATGACTAGGGGGCATATTAACGGAGAAATATGATTATTACTACTTAAATTCTGCAGCGCTGTACAATGGGTGATGTTACTCCGTTCAGGCGCTGACAAGGAAGTCAGAGTTAGCATCACAGAGGAGGTACGTCCTGCTGCGTGACTGACCCCAAGCAGTGCAAATTAATTTAGAGTGCAGACGGAACGATGCAGAAGTGTAACACCCACCTTTAATTAGATCACAGTGGGCCAGGTAAGTAATGATAATTTTCCTTTCACATAAACTAAACACTGACTCAAGCGATGGTAAACTGATAGCAGCCTTAGTACATAAGTGAATTTTTTTGCATTTAAACTACTAGGCCCATAATATTCCTACAGGGCAGTAAGTATGTCTCTTGCTGGTGCAGTCAGATCCTCTAGTGCATTAAGAGAAACTAAATATGAATTTTTTTCATGTGTTATCTTTATAATGCATTATAAATTTAGAGGTTAACCTTTAGCCCGTAATTTACCTTTTAATGCATGTGTATTGTTTTACTGTGTCTTTTACATTTTCTATCTTTTCTAATCTGAAAAAGAAGTGTTCCTTTTATTTTGTGACAATGAATGGCAGTTGCATTAGCTTATGATGTTTAGTAAATATAGATTTTCAACTAAGAAAACAAATTACAAAGCAAATAACATTTTTTTTTTTTTTTGGCCATAGACGATTAATATTTAACAGTATACCACTCCTGCCATCAATGAACTGTCTGCTAATAAAATCCTCTCCGAAAGTTTGATCATCTAAAATACTTATTTCCAACTTCCTTGTTATGATGAGTGATGGTAAGCTGTACCATATTTGCCAAAACACACACAGGTCCAGTGAAATGTGCTTTTTCATATCTGTCGATAGCCACCACATTTTGATCCTTCCAGTGCAAGTTGGAATGTAATTGGTTTTAAATGCTGGAAGACATAAGACTTAAACTCACATTAACCTGGAATTTTTTTTATTGTGATTTGATCTGCAATTGTAATATCCTGGTTTCTTTGAAAATTTGAAAAATGTTGGAGTTGTGTTAAAACTTGCAGTTTTTTCTCGATTTTATGTGATATGACCATTTTTTTTAACAATGTAACAAAATATTTGTCAGAACGCTGTTAATTGTGTTTATAGAAATGCTTGCCTGAATAAGAGGACAAACATGTATTCCTTACACTATAGTTCTAAAAACACTAGGATACTACGCCTGCTTTTAAAAAGGTGATTTATTCATCTTATTTCCAGCGCTGCGCCGGTGTTGTTGTGGTTGGCTCTCCCTTCTTGGCTGAGAGCATCAATCTCAGCCTATCCAAGGCTTTCCCCCTAGAACATATTGCACATCTCTATAGGGAGCATTCCGTGTCATTATGCAGAGATGCTTCATGTGTAGACACTGACTCAGGAAGCACCTCTAGTGGCCGTCTGAGTGACTGCCGCTAGAGGTGTTCCTACGCTATAATGTAAATATTGCCTTTCCTCTGAAAAGGCTGTGTTTACATTAGTCTGCAGAATAACTACGAATAACTACAGCTAGAGCTGTTCTGGTAACTATAATGTCCCCTTTAAGAATTGTATTCCAGAAGGCACTAAACTGGTGACTGTAGAGCTGCATTGACCTGTTGCTGTTAAATAGCTTAAAACTACAGCATTAGAAATACATGCTTATGCTCCTGGATCCATGAGATATTAACTATGAAGTTTGTTTTTGCAATTAAGATTGCTTCCTTGTTCTTATGCAGACAAAATGGAACTAGGTGCTACTGATTCTTTAAATCTATGTTCCTGTTCATATGTTACTATGCAGTAACTTTCTACAAAATGAAAGTAAAAGTTGCAAAGTGTTTTTCGAGTAGACATTTAGATTTACATACCCTCTTCCCTTCAGAATGTCTTATCGGTCTTTGTTTTTTTATATTTTTTGAAAGAATTGTATTTGGTTATTTTATACATTTTACACATTTCAACACTTGGAAAAATTTGATCTAACTTAAATTGCAGCATATAGCTGTAAAGTTTGGGAGATCATTTATGTTTACATGGAGGGTTAAAGCGGCTCTGTCAAGTTCGGTGGTGTTTGCATATTTTTCAAAGACTCCTGAAACTGACCGGTCCAGTGGCAGGGAAGGTGAGCTTTACTTGCATGTCCTTTTGTGGCCATGTTAACGCTGCAGGTTTTCTTCAGATCCTGACACTTCAGCTGCTGTGCTCTCACTCAGTCATGCGAGAGAGTACAACAGTGAGGTCTATGGAGAATCCTATGGGGTCTACTGTAGACAGAGTCTGAATCTTACAGCCATCATTCTATATAGCTGCTAGGATAGAAAAAAGTTTGGTGGGGGGGAAAAAAAAGGCAGTTCTCCTTTTGTTAACCCTAGGCTGTACTGTAAGACAAAGTAGTTCCTACTTTGTCTTATAACTTTGGATTTGCGTTGAAATTTCAGTTCCATTACGGTCTTAAATGGACAGTTTAAGCACCATAACAACTTCATTTAAATTAAGTTATGGTGCCAGAAGGTCCCTAGATGCACTCTTACCAATGCACACTTTTTTCAACTGGGTAAACCGTTCTTGAACCTGCTAGTTTTTGGGGGGTTTTCCTGTGTCCTGTGTTATATTTGTTTTTTGCTCCTCTCCACGTGTGTTTGCATTGATAACATCTGTGGATCTATGTGCTTCCCAATCCTGTGCCATTCAACAATATTGGAATCCAAACTTAAAGATTGCAGTTCATTGATAAGCAGTCTATGTGCAACAGTGTCAAATACCTTACTGATATCTAGGTAAGCTATGTCTACTGCACCACCCTGATCTATTATTTTAGTTATCCAATCATAAAAAAAAATCAATAAGATTAGTTTGGCATGTTTATTTGGCCCATGCTAACCTTTGAGTTTGACATGCTTGTCCTAAATGGCAGAGAATTGATCAGTGAGACTGCAGGGGCATGATCTATACACCAAAATTAAAGGATCACTATAGTGATTTTCCTGACCCTATAGTGCCCTGAGGGGGCCCCCAACCTCAGGGTCCCCCTTCCGTGGCGCTGAAGGGGTTAAAACCCCTTCAGAAGCTTACCTTAATCTAGCTCCCTCGGCGCTGGTGACCTCTTCTCCCCGTCAGACGTCACGGGAGCTGAATGTGCATTCAAAGTGTCCATAGGAAAGCATTTCTCAGTGCTTTCCTATGGACGCTTTGTGCGTTGGAGGTGAAATTCGCCTCCAGCGTCGCAGATGCACCTCTAGTGGCTGTCCAGAAGGCAGCCACTAGAGTCTGGATTAACTCCAAATGTAAACATATCCGTTTCTCTGAAACTGTTATGTTTACATGTGAAGGGTTTAGAACCTGAGGGACCTGGCACCCAGACACCCTGAAGTGGTCTGGGTGATTATAGTGTCCCTTTAAGCTAAACCGTAAATTCTGCAACAGTAAATCTATTATTTCAAGGAATATTACAAAACTCAAACGATAATTGCATTCTTTTCTTATATTTATCAACATGTTAACTGCTGCTAAGCTATGAATAATGTTTAAGTGATCAGTCAGACTACTCCCATACATTTTGATATCACATTTGCCATTTTCAGATCAATAAGCTCTATTTTGATAGTCACACTTTAGCTGAAGAGGGGAATGGAATCTGAACCAGAGTAAGCTAGGTATGGGGTAAAACCCTTCCAGCTGCTTATTTCCTGCAGTTGCTGGGTGTAGGGAAGCACACAGGCTCTCAAGCATTAGAACAATGCAGCTGCAGGGAGCTGTGTCTGGATAAGTTCTGAACACCAATCCCAGCGGCTTGCAATGTAGTTATGCGTGCAGCCACCAAGTATGAAGCCTCTCCGCTCCGGGAAGGGATCTCATATGTCATTTAAAGAAACTGTTTGCAAAGGAAATGAGATGGCGGGTGGGGGGTTTGAATCCAGCAATAATTTTGAGACCGGGTAAAAAGGAGGTATGACTAATAACAGCAAGAGGATGGTGAAAGGGTGTGTGTATATATAAACTGGTATTCACATATAGACATTCAACAAAAATATACTCTTTTTTTTTTTTTTTTTTTTAAGACAGGCACTAGATGAACCACAGATACAACGCATAAAAAATAGAAAGAAATGACCTATATTTTTTATAGTCCAATAATAACTCTATAATGGCTATGTGACTTTGAATGAGTTATGACAGACACCACTTGGTGAAGGATGTCAAGTAGGAGTACCAGTAAAGACAATGTTCCGTTTTGAATTAACACTCTAGTAAGCTTGATAAGGACCAGACTCTTTAAAAACAAAAAACAGGGAAAAGATGAGCAACGAAACTTCTAGAGCTGGTGTATGGATCATGCTCCTGCTGTCTAATTGATCATGTCTCTGCCAGTTAGAAATGTGATACAAGTTAAAATAACAGGCAGGATAAAACTTCTAAAGTGAACACACTGTGCTGTAAGATCTGACTGGGAAAGTAGTATGGACACTGAGTAGTTCATACAGTTAGAAAAACAGCAATGGACTTTTGTTTACATTTGCCAGTCTATGATCAGCTGCTTTGATTCAGGCTGTTGGATGTATTTAACACAGTGCAGTGAGGTACATTATATTCAACAGCGGTGTTTTGATAGGTGACCTTCAATGGCAATTATAAGAACCCAGTGTGTTTGTGGATAACGTATTAGCGCCCAACTTATCACACTAATCTGTTAAGTAGAATAATTTTTGGGGGAGTTGTTATGTGATTGAGTGCTAATATATGTACCCGAAATTATATGTCTGGATGGAGGTTTTTGACTTTGTAATTGTGCATATCAAATTGTTTATGGATCAGGAGGGGTTAGAGGTTTAAAAATAGGATGTGGGTCCCAGTCAGAGTAAATTAGGAATCCAGTAAAGATACTATCAGTCCCGTCACTTGCATATAGCCCTGGATACTCTCCTAGCTGGACCCAGACTTCATCCTCAGGCTCCAGATGTAATGCAGCCCCTCCACACAGACCACCTGGTCTAGTTCCATCTCCTGGCTGAAAAAATGAGGCCTGTGCATGTCCATTCTTCATCAGTTGCACGTGGAGTGCTCCACGGTAGACTGTGCCATGAAGGGAGAAGTAATAAAGTCCAGGCACAACACAGCGAAATCGACCAGTCTCTGGGTTGTAATGTCCTTGTTCATTTGCTAAGACCTTCACAAATGGAACAGGTTGTCCAGGAACAGGGGGACTACGAGATTCAGATAGTTTAGCACTGAAAGCAGAGCGAGGGGAAACGGCACACTCTCCTTGCTCACCTCTGTCACCTTGCAAACCAGGAAGGCCTGGAGAACCTGGGAATCCTCTAGCTCCTGCCATTCCTACAATGGGTTAGGGATAGGAAAGAAAGCATTAGGTTAGAGCTAAATTTAGTTTTTTTTCATTTCATTTGTAGAAATGTGACGGGTATTGAATGCAATACCATATGTTCACAATGTCAAATTAAGCTCCAGTAAACACTTTAAATTATATATGTCTTGAAAACAAGAGAATTTTGAATAAGATTTACAGAAAACTATTTTTTTTTCTTTCTGCATTCCTGCATTTGAATTCCTGTAAAAACTACAGCTGTCTTCCATGTTTACAAAACAACTTTATATTGCCTGGTGTAAACACTACACTGCACTATAAAATCCCTCTTTAGTACAGCATGCTCTTCAGGCCAAAGATGCATTAAAGTTGTTTTAGTGCATGTAAAAAAACAAAACAAAAAACAGACCATCGCATCCTGTGTGAGCTCCGGTATTTAGGATACTATTAATCGAAATTACTACAGATTACACTTTGATCGATGATCCTAGCTGCCTATAAGTTGCTACTGGACCGATTACCTTTACAGGTATTAACTGTTTTCCCTTTCCAGCCTACTCGCAGTGCATATGACCTGCTGCTTTCATATTTCTCTACTCTGTATACCCTGCACTGCCAGTCTAGTCTTTTGCTAGAAAATGTGCTAGTTCCTATGTACACTTAATCTAATATGTGATGTTTCCTCATTGACAGCTAATGCCACTTCTGTTATCTCTGATATTATTAAGCACATCAAAAATAAAGAATGGAAAAAAAATCAACAAAACAAAAAAATGGTAAATTGGATATTCACATTTTAAAAGACAAATACTGGCATATCACTAGTTAAAACTAGTACAGCTATATTGTGTCCTTCGTGGCTGGATGCAGTCGCTTACAGGCTCAGAGGCAGTCTTGCAACTGTGCTTTGTGTTTGTTGGGAGACCGAGCATAGCAGCAATACTCCGTAATTCGTATCCGTAAAAATTGCTGTATGTATACAGGGGTTTGTTTACTAGTTTAAATTAGTGACATGCTGGTATTTGGTTTTTAAAATGTGAGTGTACAATTTACTGTTTTTTTTGTTTGTTTGTTTTTTAAAACTATACCTGATTATAACTAGACTACGCTATTACTGATTTGGTGTCTCCTCCCTTCCTCTTTTTTTCATCCTTATTATTACTGGTGAGCCCGCTCCATTACACATATATTAAGGAGTGGGATAAGAAGAGACTAAGATAATTAAACACTAGTATTTCCCAAAGATTGAGTGACTGCTCCTGCATACAATGTAACATGTATCTTGATACATGGCATTATTTTGCACAGAAGTCAACGCGATCGCTATAATTCCATTATCTTTACCTGGTTCCCCACGTTCTCCTTTTGATCCACTTGTACCTGGAGCACCATCTCTCCCATCTCTTCCATCTCTGCCGGCAGTCCCCACACTCCCATGTGTGCCAGGAACCCCAGGGATCCCTGGGGCCCCACAGCAAGATTGAGCTATCTGGTTATCCTCAATTTCACAGGAGAAGGATACAAGAATGAAAAAGGCAAGAAAACGGAAGAACAGCATAGTCCTGGGGACAAAACACAAATTTAAGTATGGGAGAAGTGAATTTAAAAAACATAAATGTACCTACAAAGAAGATGTAAAATTATATTTTTATGGTGCTTCTACTCATAATTACTGCTGCTAGTGAATATATTTACCGTGGATTCAAATTTGCTGGTCGGTGATAGTGAACAATCGTAGCTGTACTGTAAATAACTACTATGAAAGGGTTGTTACACTCACCTTCTAAAGCACATATATCACACACTTGGAGATATAAATAACTATAGACACAAATAGACTGATGCAGGTAAATAGTCCAGAATATGAAAAGGTGGCTAATCAACTCCTCAGTATGTATGTATAATAGTATTGATATTTTCCCACAAGGTTATCCATTAAAGGATAACTATGGGGTCAGGAAACCAAACGTATTCCTGACCCCATAGTGTTAACAATAGCATCCAGCCCCCCTGGGTCCCTCATACCTCCATAAATATAGCAAAATCTTACTGTATTTAAGCCTCAAGCTGTAGATCTGCATGCTGTTTGCCTAGGAAAAACAAGCAGTCTGCTGACATCATCAGAAGTGGTAGCCTGATCCAGTCACAATGCTTCCCCATAGGATTGGCTGAGACTGACAAGAAGGCAGATAAGGGGCAGAGCCAGCATGATTCAAACACAGTCCTGGCCAATCAGCATCTCCTCATAGAGATTAATTGAATCAATGAATCTCGAGGAGGAAAGTTCAGTGTCTGCGTGCAGAGGGAGAAGATACTGAATGTTTGGATGCATTTTAGGCAGCTATGACCCAGGAAGGATCTCTAACAGCTATCTGAGGAGTGGCCAGTGAAGTTATCACTAGGCTGTAATGTAAACACTGCATTTTCTCTGAAAAGACAGTGCTTGCAGCAAAAAGCCTGAAGGTAATGATTGTACTCACCAGAACAAATTCAATAAGCTGTAGTTGTTCTGGTGACTATAGTGTCCCTTTAAAGTTCGAATGGCCCCATACCGAATAGGGCAAAATGATATTCGCTGCGTATGGAGCAAAAACTGCAAAAATTGTTCACACTAGAGGGAGCGGGGCCTGACGCTCAAGATTGCCTGACCTCACGCTCTTTACATCTACAATCTCGACTAAATTGCCATTCAGTAACGCGGGAAACCGCCGGTTAATGCCATGGACAGGCATTGTCAGTGTTTGTGCCGATATATGTCTGAATTGACCCGGTCCAAAGGGCCCTCACCTTGTTTGGATCCTGCGGTGTCTGGGCGTGGAGAGCAAAGAAGTTCCTGTATTTAGTGTTTTGTCTCTATGCATATTACTTTCTCACAATCTACTAATGTCTTACCCATCTTGGATACCACTACTGTGGCTTTTACTTATTAACTTATAACTTACCGTTCTACCTGGTGGCCTTTACTTAGCTTGTTCATGTGGAACCCACATGATGCTACACCTAATTTTATGACATGACAGGAGGCTTCGTATTTTGCTTAAGACTTTCTTTACTTAAAGGGACACTATAGTCACCTGAACAACTTTAGCTTAATGAAGCAGTTTTGGTGTATAGAACATGCCCCTGCAGCCTCACTGCTCAATCCTCTGCCATTTAGGAGTTAAATCCCTTTGTTTATGAAGCCTCACACCTCCCTGCATGTGACTTGCACAGCCTTCCATAAACACTTCCTGTAAAGAGAGCCCTATTTAGGCTTTCTTTATTGCAAGTTCTGTTTAAATAAGATTTTCTTATCCCCTGCTATGTTAATTGTCACGATTCCGGAACCTAACACGCTAACAGGTCACAGAGAGGAAGGGTGCTATACCGGTCCTTAGAGTGGCCGGGCTAAGCACGCTAAGAATAGTCAGGAGACAAGCCAAGTAAAGGGAGCCAGAAAACGGGAGAACGAGAAACAAGCCGAGGTCAAAGGAGTGGAGAAGACAGGATAATCGGAATAACGAGCCAAATAATCAGTAACCAGAGAGCAAGACGAGAACACTACGCTACAGGTATCACAAGACAACAACACAGCACTGAGGGACAGGAAAGGTAAGTATAAATACCCTTGGTTTAATTCTGATTGGATAACTTCCAATCAGAATTAACAATTACACGTGGGGGATATCTATACCTCCCACTGTGATTGTGGTACTGTTCCTTTAACGCCGGGTCACTCACGTGACCCCGGCGTTTACATAGTTCAGTGACCTCCCAGCGTGCAGCGTTATACATGCTGCCGCTGGGGGGCGTGGAGGACGCGGACGGCGAGCGGCAGAGAGGAGACGCCGCTCGCCGACAGGTAAGCAGAGGGGAGACCGCGGGCGGCGATGGACTGAGGGTGAGTGCTGCAAGTGGCGTGCAGCCTCCCCTCCTAGCCACCCGCGGATCCCTGACATAACACCCCCTCGAGGCCCGCCCAACGGGCGGGAAGCCAAAGGATTCAAAGGGAACCGCGCATGAAAGGAGCGGATCAAAGAGGGCGCATTCAAGTCAGAGGCAGAAACCCAGGACCGCTCCTCAGGGCCGTAACCCTTCCAATCAACCAGATACTGCAACCGACCCCGAGAAAAACAAGAATCAAGCAGAGCAGCCACTTCGTACACGTCATTAGAGACAGCGCGGAGGGAATCTGGACGCCTGAGAGGACCAGAGAATCGATTACAGAGCAGGTGCTTCAAAAGGGAGATGTGGAAAGTGTTAGGTATACGCATGGAAGGAGGCAAGGCCAGGGAGTAGGACACAGTATTGACCCTACGCATTACCTTATAGGGGCCAAGGAACCTGGGCGCGAATTTAATTGAGGGGACCCTGAGGCGGAGATTCTTAGAGGACAACCAAACCCTATCACCCGGGACATAAGAGGGAGCAGCACCCCTACGACGATCAGCAAATCTCTTCTGAGTAGCAGTCGCACGAGAAAGAGTAGCATGGACCTGATCCCACATCTTCCGTAAGGAGGTGAGGTGCTCGTCCAAAGCGGGTATTCCCTTGTCGGAGAACACGCCGGGAAGGACAGAGGGTTGGAACCCATAAGCAACCATAAAAGGACTTAAGCCAGTGGACGAATGAGTCACAGTGTTCCTGGCGAATTCAGCCCAAGGAAGGAGGTGAGACCAGTTGTCCTGGTGTGCATTCGTGAAGCAACGTAAATATAACTCCACAGATTGATTCGCCCGTTCGGCCGCTCCATTAGAGTGTGGATGATAGGAGGAAGTAAACGACAAGGAAATCCCCATCTCAGCACAAAAGCCCCTCCAAAACCGAGAGACAAATTGAGGACCCCTGTCAGATACGATATCCTGTGGTATACCATGCAAGCGGAAAACCTCTTTGGCAAATACCTGAGCCAACTGAACCGCAGAAGGTAGTTTCTTAAGTGGAATAAAGTGTGCCATTTTAGAGAATCTATCAGTCACAGTCAAAATTACTGTCATTCCATCGGATGAAGGAAGATCCACAGTAAAGTCCATGGATAAGTGGGTACATGGTTTCTTGGGTACGGATAAAGGCATTAGGAGTCCCGGGGGTTTGACATTAGGGGACTTACACTGTGCACAAACACGACAAGCCTGCACATAATCCACCACGTCTTGCTTAAGTGAAGGCCACCAAAACTGTTTAAGGAGATCCTTGTGTGTTTTGGTAACCCCTGGGTGGCCAGCCGTTTTGGCGGTGTGAAATAAAGCTAACAATTTCTTTCTATCTTTTTCTTTCACGTATAATCTACCAACAGGTGTCTCAGAGGGTGCTTGGGTTTGGTATGCCTTGATACCATCAAGGAAAAGAGACAAAATAACTAAATGGTTAGCAGCTATTATCTTAGACGTGGGTACAATGGGTTCAGGAGTGGGGGCGATAGACTCCAAAGGTTCGTATTGTCGGGAGATAGCATCAGCCTTGACATTACGGTACCCAGGCATATATGTGATAATGAACTTGTGAAGAAATGCCTTTTTTTTACTGTATATGCTACCGAATGCAGACCACCCTGTCACCCCTTTATACATCCAAACTTTGGGGCTTATTGGCTTCTAAAGACAGTTTCTTCCCCACTGGAATCCATGGGAAGGTGTGTTTCTTCCCCTCCCCCATTTCCTGTCTATTGTTCTCAAGCAGGGAGTTGTCCCAGGGACACTGCCAGACCAGTGGGAACTGGTTTGGGCAGAAAAGCCATGCTTCCTTTGGGTCACAAAGGACTTCTAACTAACTTTTGAACTAATGGAAGGATTTGCATGATTTTTGGGTATGTTTGTATTTAGGATGTGCTGGTTAATAATATGTGACTTTTATTAATATTGGATGTATGGTTTTGGAGTTATAAAAGTTGGGTAAAAAGTGTGTTTTAAAATGTATTGATAATTGAGTTACCTCTCAGGCTAAGGGGAGGGGATGTGTGGGATGTAACCATTGTGTGATTGGTTGTACTGTGTCCCACCCTGTGGGATGTCCCCTTGCATGGGGACCTGCATAAAAGAAGGTTCTTTGTGTGCCAATAAACAGTTCATCTTTGTACCCTTATTCTGACTACGTATGCTGTTTGGGAGTTCGTGTGTTTTACTGTGGGAATTATCCAGGAACACTATTGGATTTACAATTGGGAATTCGTCTACTATAACTACCGAACGGAGGGCTATATTCACTGGGCTCTGGCTGTTCGGGAGGAAACTACCGATTAAGGTTTAAATGTACTTGGTTTCCTTACAGAACTGAAAGCGTGAAGGAAATAAGGACCATCTGGCTTGACGAGAGGACAACCTTTTAGCATCAGCTATATAGGAGAGATTCTTATGATCAGTTATAACCAGGATTTTGTGTCTAGCTCCTTCTAATAAGTACCTCCACTCTTTAAATGCCATCACAATAGCTAATAGTTCCCTATTCCCGACGTCGTAATTCTTTTCCGAATCAGACAGTTTTTTAGAAAAGTAACAACAGGGATGGAGGGGTTCGTTATAGGATAATCTTTGTGATAATACAGCTCCTATACCTGATTCTGAAGCGTCTACTTCCATTATAAAGGGAAGGGAAGGATCAGGATGGTGTAGCACAGGGGCAGTGGCAAATGCCTTTTTGAGAGTTTCGAAGGCTTTGATGGCTTCGGGAGTCCAAACCCTGGGGTGCAAACCCTTTTTAGTTACTTTCGTGATAGGAGAAATAACAGATGAAAAGTTTTTAATAAACCTGCGATAATAATTGGCAAAGCCTATAAATAGCTGTATTGCCTTAAGGCCTTGAGGGAGAGGCCAAGACAATATGGCTTCTAATTTAGAAGGATCCATGCTGAACCCCTGTTCAGAAATGACGTACCTTAGGAATTGTACGGATTTCTGGTCAAATAAACATTTCTCCAATTTACAATAAAGACCGTTCTGTAGCAATCTCTTAAGTACCTTCCTCACATGGGCATGATGTGACTCCAAATCAGGAGAGAATATGAGTATATCATCGAGATAAACCACAGCACAGACATGCAGTAGATCTCTAAGGACATCATTTATGAGGTCCTGAAAGACAGCAGGAGCATTACACAGTCCAAAAGGCATGACTAGATACTCGTAATGCCCACTGCGTGTATTAAACGCTGTCTTCCATTCATAATTTTCTTTTATCCGAACCAAGTTGTAAGCCCCCCTGAGGTCTAGTTTAGTAAAATATCTAGAACCTTTAACACGGTCAAACAACTCAGTAATGAGAGGGATAGGATAAGCATTTTTAATTGTTATATTATTCAGGCCCCTATAGTCTATACATGGTCTCAAATCGCCCTCTTTCTTGGCAACAAAAAAGAAACCAGCACCAGCCGGAGAGGAGGACCTTCTGATAAAACCTTTACGTAAGGATTCCTGTATGTACTCCTCCATGGGGTAAGGGTAGACCTTACCCCTAGGAGGCATCGTTCCAGGTAACAAATTTATGGCACAATCATAATCCCGGTGTGGGGGTAGTTTATCAGCTTCCCTCTTTTCAAAGACCAATGCGAGGTCTGCATACACAGGAGGGACAGAAACAGAAAGTGGTTTAGCTGTAGGCACATTAAGTAAACAAACGGGATGTAAACGGGCCATACAGTCTTGTTGACAAGATACCCCCCAGGAGAGTATATCTAGAGAATCCCAATCGAGTACCGGGTTATGCTTAACTAACCAGGGAAAGCCCAGAATGATGGAAGCTGTAGGGGAGTCAATTATTTGGAAGGCTATCCTTTCTTTGTGTAAGGCACCCACGACCATAACCATTTCTTGGGTTTCATGGGTCACCAGAGGTTTATCAAGTGGTCTACCATCTATGGCCTCAATGGCCAAGGGTGTGGCCTTTTGGATCAGATTCAAGGATGCGGTTTTAGCAAAGTTCTCATCCATAAAGCTGTCTGCAGCACCTGAATCGATCAAGGCTTTAGTTGTTATCGTGGTTTTATTGACCAAAAGAGTAACCGTAATAAATGGTCTGGAGATGGACATATGAGGGGAAAAAACCATAACACCCGAGGCCGACCCCTCTCTAGGCCTTAGGTGCTGGAGTTTCCCTGCAAACTAGGACAGTTTCTTCGGAGATGCCCCCTCTTACCACAATAAAGGCACAAACCCTCCCTTCTGCGGTACGTTCTTTCAGCTTCAGATAAGCCTACAGCACCTAATTGCATGGGTTCGGGAGGTGGTTGATTAGGGGGAGGTAATGCTAGCAATGCAGTACTGGGTAAAGCAGGTAACCCCTGTGTATTCATCCTTCTTTGACTACGCCTCTCTCTAATACGGTTGTCAATTAGAATGACATAATCTATTAGATCATCCAGAAGAACAGGCATTTCCCTGGATGCTATTTCATCTAATATGTAAGCGGCCAAACCCTCCTGAAAAGCTGTTACGAGAGCGTCGTTATTCCAGACCACTTCAGCTGCCAGAGTGCGGAATTCAATGGTATAATCCGCTACAGATCTATTACCCTGTCGAACCCTAAGCAGAGCTTTGCCAGCAGAAGCAACCCGGCCGGGTTGGTCAAACGTACGTTTAAAAGCTGTTAAGAAGTCTGAAAAGGACATTGGGGATGTATTCTCCCACATGGGATTAGCCCATGCTAGAGCTTTCCCGGACAAATGGTTAATCAAAAAAGCAATTTTGCTTCTGTCAGTGGGGTAGGAACGAGGATTCATCACCAAATGAATATCAATTTGGTTGAGGAAACCACGGCACAATGCTGGATCACCGCTATAGCGCTGAGGTGGCGTCATGTGAACCACGTGAGCAGGAGCGGGTACTGGATCAGGAATGGGTTCTGGCACAGCAGCAACAGCTTCTTGGACGGCAGGTTGCAAGTGGGCAGTACGAGCCAGTATGGTTTGTAAAGCCTGGGCAAACTGATCCATACGGTGGTCTAAACCATCCATTCTAGCCTCCTGATTCACTAAGAGCTGTGGAATGTCAGCAAATTCCATGGTGGCTCTGTTGTAATGTCACGATTCCGGAACCTAACACGCTAACAGGTCACAGAGAGGAAGGGTGCTATACCGGTCCTTAGAGTGGCCGGGCTAAGCACGCTAAGAATAGTCAGGAGACAAGCCAAGTAAAGGGAGCCAGAAAACGGGAGAATGAGAAACAAGCCGAGGTCAAAGGAGTGGAGAAGACAGGATAATCAGAATAACAAGTCAAATAATCAGTAACCAGAGAGCAAGATGAGAACACTACGCTACAGGTATCACAAGACCACAACAGGGCACTGAGGGACAGGAAAGGTAAGTATAAATACCCTTGGTTTAATTCTGATTGGATAACTTCCAATCAGAATTAACAGTCACATGTGGGGGATATCTATACCTCCCACTGTGATTGTGGTACTGTTCCTTTAACGCCGGGTCACTCACGTGACCCCGGCGTTTACATAGTTCAGTGACCTCCCAGCGTGCAGCGTTATACATGCTGCCGCTGGGGGGCGTGGAGGACACGGGCGGCGAGCGGCAGAGAGGAGATGCCGCTCGCCGACAGGTAAGCAGAGGGGAGACCACGGGCGGCGATGGACTGAGGGTGAGTGCTGCAAGTGGCGTGCAGCCTCCCCTCCTAGCCGCCCGCGGATCCCTGACATTAATAGCTTGCCAGACCCTGTAAAATCCTCCTGTATGTGATTAAAGTTCAATTTAGAGATTGAGATACAATTATTTAAGGTAAAATCTGTTTGAAAGTGAAACCAGTTTTTTTTTTTCATGCAGGCTCTGTCAATCATAGCCAGGGGAGGTGTGGCTAGGGCTGCATAAACAGAAACATTTAACTCCTAAATGACAGTGAATTGAGCAGTGAAATTGCAGGGGAATGATCTATACATTAAAACTGCTTTATTTAGCTAAAGTAATTTAGGTGACTATAGTATTCCTTTAAACTTCACTTTTTTAACATAGTAACATGGTAACCAATCAGAAAAAAGATAACAAGGTATAAAAGTCCCTCCCCGTGATGTCACTTCCTCTTTCTTTGCTTCTTCACACCAGTACAGGTCAGAGTGCCACTGTCTCCTACTTTCTGTGGTCTATTCATTTATCTTCTTATCTGTTTATCTCATATTTTATTAAGTGTTCTTGCATAGCAAGAACACTTACTGTTATCTCATATATATATTATTAAGTGTTCTTGCAAGAACACTTATTGTTATCTCACATATATATTATTATTCTTATTCTTATTCTTATTATAGCCAAATTTGCCACCCTAACTCCTCCCACAGTTTTTACACTACATAGACCAAAATTTACCAAAACGTGCAGATTGTTCCCGATCGGATTGCTATTACTTTGTGGAACGTTTCGCCGAATGGTTCACGGAATATCGTCGTTTTTGTGGCGCAATTTGTCCCATAGGAATGAATGGCAAAGCTAGAGTGGGAGCTGCCAAAAGCTGAAAAATCAGGACATGATTTCTAAACTGCCACCACTCCCTTATTTTCAGGCCCACCTACACAAATCTTATATCAAAACGTTCAGCTATCCCTGCTGCCACTAAACATGTCAACGGCTAAGCCATAGTCCTGATAGTTTTCACAATATAATCATTTGTTTGCAACTAACGCCGTCCATTGACATTCATTGAAACTTCACTCTGCAAAGCTCAAATTTGAAGTGCAATTTCTAAACTGCGACTGTGCCTTCATTTTTAATACTTCAGAGACATACTATGCATCAAAATGTAGGTCTGGGTCTTGTGATTCTCACAATATAAAGCTCTTCGCTGTAGGATTTATAGTTTTTAAAATACGACCGTTTGAAGATGGCAACCGCCAAAATACTCTGACTTGTGCCAGGCTGCAGCAGCAAGTGATGTCATAGACAGGGCCTTTTGAACACCTGCTAATGTTTTTATAAATGTATGGTGTAATGTAACTGTGCAACAACGTTGCAATTAAATGTGCTATATAAATGATAACAGTTACTCCGCCCACTCCAGTTGTAGACTACTGGTGGAGGCAAGAACACTTCACACAATTTCCCCAGAAATTGTAGCTTTTCTAGTTGATATTATCATTGTATCTTATACCTAAGGGGTTTTAGCTACCATATTTAATCTTGCTAAATTTTCCTCTCAACTTATTTTCTCCATATCTATTTACTGTTTCATATTTTCCTATTAGCTCCTTTTGAACTGTCATTTTCTGTTTATTTATTTATTTTCTACCTTATTTAGCCCAGATTGCGGTCGGCATACTCTGCCCCATTTTTCCTGGGCTTTCTGGGCCGTGGAGAACGCCTCCAACGGTCCTGAGTGTGCACGGCGGCCATCTAGGATCTCGCGTTCTTCCGCGAGATCCAAACGGCCATTTCATCAGGGGACGCTGAATCCTTTCTGGATACGCTTGGTCAACCTCTGTTTGACCCACGACAGATTAGATATCCTCGGTCATCAGAATGGTCACTCCCAGACCATCTCTCCCAGTATATCCATTTCTGGATCAGGAGACCCCTAGACCGGGAGGTCCACAAGCGCCTAAGAGCTGAATGTCCTAGGCCTACTCTGCCGGACAAGGTCGCTATGACCCCGGAGTTTGATACGCTGCTCTATGCATATCTAGCCAGATCTGGCCCTGACCCAAAAAAGGGCATTGAACGCAGCCTATGCCTTACCCAGGACAAGATGTTAGATATCCTGGGGCTCCTGGCGAAATTCTGCTACTGGCTGATGAAGCCCTCTCTAATGAGGGTCCTTTAGACCCATCTTTGATCACAGAATGGGCACTACGTTCCATTTGCCTGCTGGGCAATGCAAATACATCCCTCTGTACTGAGCATAGAAAAGCAGTGGTGCTGCGCATGGATGCCAAACTAGCCGACTTAGGAACCAAAGAATTGTGCCCCAAGGCCAAGGGTCTGTTATTTGGAGAACCCTATAGTAAAGAGTTACATAAACATATAAACTTATACGCCACACTGAACAAGGCGCAGTCATCCATGAAAAGAGTATTTCATCAACAACCCTCACGGGTTTTTGGCAGGGCTGGCCGTACAAGGGGTCGTGCATTCAGCCATTTCTGGGCCACAAGCCAACGCCAGCGACCCCCCACTTCATCATTCTTCCCCAACTATCAATCAAGGCACTTCTACACCCAGAGGGCGGATAGGGGAAGAGAAAGCAGAGCCCGTGGACGCAACAGATACCCAACAGGTGAGATTTCCTACCTTTCACCTTTCACCTTTCTACGGTTTATCATGCGGGCAGGTTGTTACATTGTGTAGACATGTGGAAGACGCTGTCTTCAGAGACCTGGGTTCTAAACACAGTTTGGGGTTATTCCATAGAGTTTTATTCTCACCCTACTCAAACAGGTTCTCCTCATTACCCGATAATGTCAAAATCTCAAAGTACCCTTCTTGATTCAGAACTATGTTCCCTACTAACAAAAGGAGCGATTCAACTTGCTCCACACGACGAAGGCTTTCTCAGTTCCATCTTCTTGATCAAAAAGAAATCAGGGGAATTCCACCCGGTAATCAACCTGCGCCAATTGAATACCTTTGTGATATACAGACATTTCAAAATGCAAGGGATACATCTCCTCAGAGACATTCTCTGACCAGGCGATTGGTTCCCGACTCGACCTCAAGAATGCTTACCTCTCCGTACCAGTACATCCATCCAGTCGACGTTTTCTCCGCTTTTTTTGTCACCACCAGATTTTCCAATTCACCTGCCTTCCATTCCACCTGAGTTCTGCTCTGTGGTGCTTCACCAAACTGCTCAAGCCAGTCACATCTTCGAGCAAGGGGCATTCACTGCTTAATCTACCTCGACGACCTCTTGCTACTCTGCGACGATGCATCCAGACTGCAATCACAGACGAATTACACATCCTCATTGATCTAATCCTTGGGGTTTGTCACCAACCAAGAGAAATCATCACTGTCCCCATCCCAAATCGTACAGTTTCTCGGCTTCGAGATCGACTCCTCCACCTGTGTTCTTTGTCTGCCTCCATCCAATTTAACTGCGATCAGTAAGTAACTACGCAAGACGCTTCGACAAGTAGATTTACCTCTCACAGGTTTAGCTCAGATCGTAGGCCTGCTTTCTTCTTCCATTCAGGCAATCTACCCAGGACCTCTTCACTATCTGGCCATGCAACGCTTGAAAGCTCAATTCCTCCAGACCAATCCATCATACGACCAGAGGGTCCCAATCACTACCGAGGTAAGGGAGGAACTCTACTGGTGGCTCCGCCAAATGTCTGCCTGGAACGGCAAAGCAATTTTCGGCCCCCACTCCGGACTTTGTTGTGGAATCAGACGTGAGCCTCCAGGGATGGGGCGCAACTTGTCATACAACCTCCACCAGGGGACCATGGACCACCGCAGAACACTTTCTCCACATCAGTTGTCTGGAGTTAATCGCAGGCTCATTTGCAATCCGTAGTCCGGCCAATCACCTCTCAGGCTGTTGTATTCTCCTTCGAATGGACAATATCTCAGCCGTCCAATACATCAACAAATTGGGCGGGGCCAGATCTCGCACCCTCTCCGAAGTGACAAAGGAGATCTACAATTTTTGTTTCCAACGCAACATCACACTTCGGGCAGAATATCTCCCGGGGGAGACGAACATTACCGCGGATTGGTTCTCCCGACATTGGAGAGACGTCAGCGACTGGGACCTACACAGATCAGTTTTCCTCCACATCTCCAAACTCAGGGGCCCGTTTGTTCTGGACGTGTTCGCCTCCCGGACGAATTTTCAAGTCTCACGGTTCTTCAGCTGGCTACCAGACCCAGAATGCTCGGCAGTAGATGCCTTCCTTCAGAAGTGGCCGTCGACGGGAGCCTACACCTTCCCTCCGTTTGCGTTGATTCCAAGAGTCCTTCTCCAGATTCGCAGACAACAGGTCACACTTGTACTACTCATCCCGCTCTGGCAGGGCTAAGCATGGTTCCCGGATCTTCTGGACCTCTCATGCCAACAGCCCAACCTCCTAGAGGACCCTTAAGGAAACCCTCATCCGATGATAATACAAGGCCACCTCCACTTAGTGGCTTGGACTCTTTCAGGGGAACCTGGAATTTCGGAGAGTTATCGCAGAGATCTAAGGAACTCCTCTGGGATTCTTGGGCCCCTGGAACCAGAAGATGCTAGCTTTCCTCCTGGCGTGCTTGGTGCAATTGGTGCCTTGAACGGGATACCGATCCCCTTACAGCCCCTAGACAGTTCATATTGAATTTCCTCTCTCATCTATTCGACCTAGGCTGATTCTACCGATCCATCAACGTTGCCCGGTTGGCCATCTCGGCAGCCCATGTTCCTCTACACGGAGCTCCAGTTGGCCACGACCTGCTGGTTTGTAGACTATTACGGGGCATTAAACTGGTTCACCCTCCAACACCCTCCAACACTGGTTCACCTTCTATGGGACGTTAATGTCATGATTCGTTTCCTAGAAGCTCGTCTGATCAACGAAGATCTCTCCCTTCGTCAACTCTCAGCAAAATTCACCCTCTAGGGTCGCCTCTCTAGGTAAGTCCATCTACAACAAGGGTAAATACACAGTGTCTTTCTGCTCGGGGGGGGCCAAGGGGTTACACCCTATGAGTGGGTGGATTATGGCTATATTGCAGGCAGGCTATAATTTATGGATTCTAACTACTGGATGACATAATTTTAGAAGTCCAATTCACGGATTAATCCTTGGTTTCGACTCTGCTCTCTCGTTTCAGCGTAAATCTTCCTCAAGAGGACATGTTTAGTTTCCTGTTCCCTCTCAAGCATCAACTTTCTCATCTGGCATTCTGAAACTCTCATCTGGTTCATTTATCGTTTGCTGTTACTGTCACTCCCAGCCAGAAAGAGGAAGTGACATCACGGGGAGGGACCTTTATACCTTGTTATCTTTTTTCTGATTGGTTACCCTGTCACTATGTTAAAAAAGTGCTGCTGTGAAGCTTAAGTAAAAAAAGTCTTAAGCAAAATACTCGCCTCCTGTCATTAATAAAATTAAGATTATAGGTACACTAAAGCTAGCATAATCTACAATTATCCTTTTAAACCATGCTGTCAGTTTGCCGATCTTTCTTTCATTATTATGCTAAATGACTCCTCTACTGACATTTATTTTTCTTTTCATTAAACAAAACAAAAAAATGAGCCGCTTCTCCTGACTTTTGATGCATGTATAATGTTATTTTGACTCATGACATATGTTGCTACTGCAATTGTACTGTAATTATCACTCCACTTTAAAAATTAACGAATGTAAAAAAAAAGTTGTTCACACTATTTAACAATGTCTTCATTTTGCTAATCACGCTCTAAACGAGCCTGAAATACATCCAGATTTCAGATGGACCAAATGCTGCTGGAATGCTGAAATCTTGAAAAGTAGGCCCAGATTTTAAAAATCTAAGCTATTTGTCCACAGGCAGCACTAGCAACCAGCAGGCAAATAGTTAAAGAATCCTCTGAGGTCCAAAGGGTTAACAATCCCAACTACCATGCCATATTTCTACTACTTTTCTCTCCTCAAAGCTTCTGGAACTACTTGTCTGTAACCATTTGACACACTTTCTCAACTCTTACATTCTCCTCTAACCTCTTGCCAGCTGCCAAAGTAAAACGTAAAAAAAAACCGAATAAAATATTAAATCCCCTTATTACTATAGGGGAGTTTATAAACCTCCTTTATGCCCTCCCCCCCCTTTCTATTCCATGGGTGAGGTCATATCTGTGAGCAACTAGTGGCTGTTTACTGTAATAGAAAACTAGCGACTAGGCAGCCATTACTGGTGGAAAAAGTGCACACAACTCCAACAGAAAAACACACTCCAACAACCTTCAATAACTGTCTGCAAACTATTTACCGCCATTATATTTCTATTGTCAAAATAGAGTAATAAGGGAACAGCTCTATAGACTGAAACAGATTGCTAGGCATGCAATTTTTTTTTTCTTATTATACATTATTTATATAAATTCTATGACCTTTTATGTGTAAAATAACACATGTAATTGTTAATCCAGCAAACAATTAGACATATTACACTGGAGGCTAGGATCACGCGCTAGAAGTTGGGAGAACGGCTAATAGTTTTGGAAAAGGCATTTTATAATATAACATTTTAGTAACTACAGATCATTCCTGTAAAGGAAATTGGTAGGGATTGCACAAGACATGAAATGGTTGTAGGGAAAGATGAATGAGATGTAAATAGTGCAGCAAACATTTTATCTGTGTTACTCATTTGTTTAAAAAAATAAGAAAATAACAGTCTTTTTCCCCTTACTGTACTAATCGGCACAGGGAAACTGTCCTCTGGGCGTGTGTCTCTCCTATTTGATTTCAGCCTAAGGGAAAGCAATGCCAGCAAGGTTTAGGAGAAAGGAAGGGCAGGTTCTTTGCAGCAGGGTAAGGAGAAAGAGATAAAATTATGTTATTGCAGAAGCTTTGTGCAGCAATCGGAAAATGTAGAGAGATAATCTATACATTTTTTACCGTACATATCTTTGACCCTGCAAGCTGGTTGTCAGAGAGCAGGTGTATAAGGGGACGGACTAGTGAGACGAATAACCCCACTGGCACTACCTAAATGGGGGAACTTACGCAGGAAGGGGGGCAGGTCCACCTGAAGAATTGACAGGTCAGTGCCATAGGTTAGCCCACTGAGGGGAATGCATGAAAGCTGTGTCTAACATCAAGTGTAACAATCACTGATAACATGATTGATGCTCTTTGCAGGAGAATGGGGCAATGGGCTTACAAGACTATTAAAGGAACACCATAGTGTCATGAATGCGCCAGTCAGCATCGCCTCATTGAGATGCATTGAATCTTGGCCTTGGAGATGCCGATCATCATTGTTGCACACTGTGCAGTAGTGACACAGGAAGTATCGTCTGAGTGACTGCCACTCTGTTATTAGGCAGTAATGTAAACCATGCCTTTTCTCTGAAAAAGTAGTGTTTTACGTTAAAAAGCCTGCACTAACACACTATCCAACAGAACCACATTAAGCTGTAGTTGTTCTGATGACTATAGTGTCCTTTTAAGGGAAGAAATTAACTTTGAGTTGATAATCGTATTAAAGGAAGAAATACTTAAAGGGAAACTCCAGTTCCAGGAAAACAATCCGTTTTCCTGGCACTGCAGGTCCCCTCTCCCTCCCACCCCCCAATCCTTGGTTGCTGAAGGGGTAGAAACCCCTTCAGTAACTTACCAAAAGCAGCGACATGTCCCACGTCGCTGCTTCTTCCTCCGCCGCCGCTCCTCCCTGTGATTGCGTTGGCCGGTGGGCGAGACTGATCCCGCCCACCGGCTGGGGAGACCTAATGCACATGTGTGGCAATGACGCGCATGCGCATTAGAGCTCCCCATAGGAAAGCATTGAAAATGCTTTTCAATGCTTTCCTATGGGGAAATGAGCGACGCTGGAGGTCCTCACACAGCGTGAGGACTTCCAGCGACGCTCTAGCACAGATTTCCTGTGCTATGATCCAGGAAGTGCTCTCTAGTGGCTGTCTTATAGACAGCCACTAGAGGTGGAGTTAATGTAAATGGTGGTTGGTTCAGCGCTTGGTGTTTCAATAGAATAGTACAGGATATGTATGGATGTGGGCGGCAACCTAAAATGAGACGTTCCCTCACAGTACGTCAAAGGAAGAGGAGAATCAAAAAGATAAAAAATATTAGGTCGCGCCAAAAATTATTACAAATTATAATCAAACTAATGTGAAAAAAATGATCAAGAAGTAAAAAGGATAATGGTATAAGAAACTATAAAAGAGCAACACAAAAAGTACTTACATATACAATTGTATAATAAAATACTTACATATACAATATTATAAAAGAACATAAATAAGTCCTTGGATAAGCTTAAAACAGTAAAAGTCACTCGAGGAATTGTGAAGGAGATAATGGTCCAAACGAAGAAGTGGTCAGGATATGCCTGTTGAAAAAGCCCTGTGTGGCAAAACGCGTTTTGGCTATTTTATTATAGTATTTTATTATCTCATATTGTATTAATAAAGGATTATTGGCTAATATACATTTTATTTTCCTGCCATATTCCTATTATTTTCTATTTTTTATTTATTTTATTCCTGGACCTGGTTTTTATTTCAAGCACTTTTTATCTGTGCCCAAGAATCCTAGGTGGGGATTATACCACCCACGTTATATCAGTGAGCAGTATTTTCCTGCTCACTTAAATGTGAGTATTCTATATATATCTTTCTATTTACGTCTACATCCAATTATACAGTGAGCACTATTTTGTGTTACTCTCCATTTTTCCCGAGGATTTTCTCCATGTGCGCAAGCCTATACCCCATCAGTGGGGGATTTATACCACTGAATGTGAAGTAAAACCTGAGCTAGTCCAAGCTCTTAAATAGGTGAGTGGGATACCGTATTACCTTGAATCCACACATACGAATTTTAAGTTATAGACTACACTATTGGAATTTCCCTCTGTTCTATTTTACAGAGGTGGAGTTAACCCTGCAAGGTAATTATTGCAGTTTATAAAAAACCCTGAGCAGCGGGTGGGGACCCTAAAGTAAAAAAAAGGGGGGAGGACCTATTGTCCTCCCCACTGGTCCCCACCCCTGAGCGGCGGGTGGGGGCCCTAAATAAAAATTGTATATATATATCTATATATATACAGTGGTGTATCCTGGTTTTGTGCTGCCCTAGGCAGGACAAAACTCAGGTGCCCCCTCCCCCCGTGCCACCCCCAACCCCCTTCTAAATACATACACACACATTCACTGACAGATACGCATACACTAGCTAACAGAAACACTCACTCACTAACAGACACACACACACACACTATCAGACACACACACACACACTAACAGACACACAGTAACAGACACACACACACACTAACAGACACACAGTAACAGACACACACAGTAACAGACACACACAGTAACAGACAGACACACACACACCAACAGACACACAGTAACAGTCACACACACACACTAACACTAACAGACACACACAGTAACAGACACACACTGACAGACACACACAGTAACAGACATATACACACACTCACGCACATTAACATATATCAGCTCCCTCGCGCGCCTCAGAGTGAGGCTGGGAGCCGGAATATGACATCATCTTCCGGCTCCCAGCCTCACTCTGCGCGCACGAGGGAGCTGAGCACACAGCTCAGAGGAAGTGTTCCCTCGCCAGCGCCCCCCGACCGCCCAGCAGGTCAGTTTGCCGCAAGGCTAACTAGACATTTGCCCTGGGCATTTGGGAGGGGTGTTTTTTGCCGCCCCCTGAAAAATGCCGGCCAAGGCAAATGTCTAGTTTGCCTCGCGACTAATACGCCCCTGTATATATAGATTTCTGTGGTTTTTGCTTCGCAATTACTGCTAAGCCTCCATTAGCTAGTAACCAACCTCATGCTGATGATTTGCATTTACAATAAAATAGCTGTCCATGAGTGGTTCACGGGCTTTGCATCTTTTCCTAAGTTGTTTCAAAACTGTTGTATACAACTAACACAGACTCCAAGGAATCCATGTTAAAAATAGTATGAGGCAAAAATGTGATTCCTTATTAAAATAATTTGCATATGCCCACCCAGAATCCCTTGCAGTAGTAACATCACTGCAAATTTGTGATTTCTGTGGAAAAACATGGCTTGACTGGTGTGCAGATCTGTGTTAAACAATGTATTGATTATCTGATTGATTGATTGATCGATCAGAATTTTTGCCTACATTTCGCAATGCCGATTTTCAATTTACCACAGTTCTCTGTTTATTGAATAAACACCAGTGCCATTTTAACCTCTTCAGGACCAAGGACTGTCTTAGTCAGTCAGTTTCCTTCCCCCAAATCTCCATTAGATTCTTTTAATAGGAGTTAGTTTAGGGATTACTGTTTTAGTCTGTTTTAGTAAAAAAATAAATAAAAATAAAATATATATATGTAACGGATCACCTGGCACCCCGACTGGGTACCTCCGTTGAAAGATGCTCCTAGCGCTTCCTGAGGACTCCACACACTGCAGCAGACACCACAACCACCGCAGGCTCCACAACCGCTATAGCTTGACTGGAGTCTCGCCGTCTTCCTTCCACCCTGGATCAGCTTCTGTCCTCCAGGACAGTGTGGGAAAGACCTCTTCCTTCCACCCTGTATGAACCTCCAGCATCCAGGACTGTGTGGTGAAGACCTTTCCTCCAAGGAGAGCGTGTCAGGAACAAGCTCTTAAAAGAACTAAGTGATTCAAGCTCAGGAGAGTATGCAGAGCATAGCAATCCCCAGTCTGATTATAACAGCTCCCTCCAATAACAAGACAAGGCTACATTTAGAGGGATCAAGAAGAACTGTCTAAACCTTTATTTCCCTTGGGACCAGCCCATAGGGTCACAACATTAACATTGCTGTGAAAACTCAATAAAATCACAAACAGTCAAACCATAGCAGGCAACACACAGTGACTTAACACAATGGCACATTTTAAAGGAGTGGGGGAGACAATATTTAACAGAAAATATCTCATGTGTCTGCAGAATTAGCAATATGCAAATCTACCCGAATATGCAAATAAACCAGTCTTGCTATTCAGGTAGTGCATATTGCTATTGCTACCAACAGAGGGCACTAGACAAGCTCCATAGCCAAACCCACCTAGTTGGTAGCAAACCTCATCAGTACAGGAGAGCAGGCAATACATTACACAGTACACTCACACACTATAAACAATTACATTACACACACCCTGCACCTATAATGGGTACAGGGTGACTAAAACATAAGAGAAATAAAGCAACCTACATAAATAGTCTGTCTGAAGGTAGAATAGGGGCTTTAAATCCAAATACATCAAAGAGTCATAGTCACAGGGGAGGAGGCTGGCAAGCAGGCCTCTCCAGGACCAAGTGGCGAAGGGCACTTCGTCACAATATATATAAAAATTTGTGTTAATATTTTGTTAGTTTAGTCTGTTAGTGTGAAACATGCAGCGCATGTACAGCTTGGAGGAGGCATATGCCTTCTTGGCGTCAGACTCTGACGCCACTGACACTGTGTCCGATTTTGACCCAGGTCAGTTTAACGACACGTCTAGTGACATGTCATCTATGTGTGAGCCAGCTGCTAAAAGAAGCTGTGCTTCCCCTGCTACGCCGAATGTGGAGGAGGACTGGGTACCTCCACAGTCAGCTGAGCCCAACATCCCCCCTTTTAGTGCCAACGCAGGCATTAATGTGAATGTGGTTGACTTCTCCCCTATACAATATATGGAGTTATTTTTAGGGGATACCATCTGGGAGGAGATTGTTTCCCAGAATAATTTATACGCTGGCCAATTTACTGAGACCAATCCAGGTAGCTATACAGTCAGGGAGCATGCCTGGCATCCCACAGATGTCGCTGAACTTAAAAAATTCTGGGCTCTTACAATTCTCATGGGGATTATAAAGAAGCCATCAATTCGCTCTTACTGGAGCACCAACCCAATCTGTTCTAGTCCAGTGTACTCCCAAACCATGTCTAGAACAAGATATGAGCTGCTGCTGAGATACTTACATTTCAATGACAACACCCTCTGTCACCCCAGAGGTCACACCCAATATGATAGGCTTCATAAAATACGCCCACTGGTAGACCATCTTCAGTACAAAATTATTGAAGTTTATACTCCTCAAAAAAATGTATCTATTAATGAATCGTTAATGAAATATAAAGGGAGATTAGGATTCAAACAATACATCCCCTCAAAGCACTTTAGGTATGGCATAAAATTCTACAAACTGTGCGAGAGCGAAAGTGGCTATACATTTGTCTTTTGTGTAAATGAGGGGAAAGATGGTCAACTGGACCCTCCTGGCTGTCTTGACTCTCTGGGGACAAGCGGGAAACTTGTTTGGGACCTACGGATCCCCTTGTTCAATAAACGTTACCACCTTTAAGTGGACAATTTTTATAGCATTGTCCGTTTGTTTCAAACTCTTTAGGGTTTCTGGATACTGGCCTGTGGCACTGTGAGAAGAAATGTCAAGGATTTCCCCAGACCTTTTATAGAGTCCAAATTAAAAAAAAAAAGTGAATGTAAGGTCTGCACAAAGCTAAAGTGCTTGCAATAAAATTTAAGGACAGGAAGGATGTTATTATACTAACCACCATCCATGTCTACTTTCCAAAAATATATGGTTTGGTGGGGGTAAAATACATTGGCCGGCCTTACAAATGTCCAAAACAGGACATGTGCGTATGTTGACTACATGTCAAAATTCCAAGTTGAAAAATGGATATGCGCACCTGCCAAATGTGGCATTTTAGCCCCCAAACAACCCAACAAGCCCATGCATGGGTGGTATCACTGTATTCAGGAGATGTTGCTGAACACATATTGGGGTGTTGTTTGGCAGTGACACATAACATAATCTGTTAATTCATGCCTAAAGTACAATGTGTGTGAAAAAAACACACAAAAAATTACTACCTAAAAGTTTGACAAAGTCTGGTGATAGAATTAGTGCATGGAAAGTGTTAAAATACCACCATTTGAATTACCCTAGGGTGTCTACTTTCCAAAAATATATGGTTTGGTGGAGGTAAAATACATTGGCCGGCCTTACAAATGTCCCAAATAGGACATGTGCGCAGGTTGACTACATGTCAAAATTCCAAGTTGAAAAATGGATATGCGCACCTGCCAAATGTGGCCTTTTAACCCCCAAACAACCCGACAAGCCTATGCATGGGTGGTATCACTGTACTCCGGAGATGTTGCTGAGCACATATTGGGGTGTTGTTTGGCAATGTCATATAACAGGATCTGTAAATTCATGCCTAAAGTACAATGTGTGTGAAAAAAAACACACAAAAAATTACTACCTAAAAGTTTGACAAAGTCTGGTGGTAGAATTAGTGCATGGAAAGTGTTAAAATACCACAATTTGAAATACCCTAGGGTGTCTACTTTCCAAAAATATATGGTTTTGAGGGGGTAAAATACATTGGTCGGCCTTACAAATGTCCCAAATAGGACATGTGCGCAGGTTGACTAAATGTCAAAATTCCAAGTTGGAAAATGGATATACGCACCTGCCAAATGTGGCCTTTTAGCCCCCAAACAACTCGACAAGCCTATGCATGGGTGGTATCACTGTACTTGGGAGATGTTGCTGTACATATATTAGTGTGTTTTTTGGCAGCAACACATAACAGGATCTGTAAGTTTATACCTGAATTGCAATGTATGTGTAAAAAAAAAAACAACTACCTATGCGAAGTTTAGCAAAGACTGGTGGTAAAATGGCTGCATAGAAAGTGTCAAAATATCCTTAGATGAATACCCTGGGTTGTCTACTTTAAAAAAAATATATACATGTGGGGTGTTTTCCAGAGATTTATGACAGATAATAGTGTTACAATGTCACTATTGATAAATTTTAAAAATGTATGTTTTGAAACCGCAATATCCTACTTGTACTTATAGCCCTATAACTTGAAAAAAAAAAGCATGTAAACACTGGGTATTTTTAAACCCAGGACAAAATTTCGAATCTATTTAGCAGTTTTTTTCATTAGCTTTTGTAGATGAGTAAAAGATTTTTCAAGTAAAAGTAAAAAAAACATGTATTTTTTTCAATTTTGCATCATATTTTTTTTATTTTTTTCAATTAAATTACATGAGATTATGTAAATAATGGTGTGTAAAGAAAGCCCTTTTTGTCCTGAACAAAACAATATATAATTTGTATGGGAACAATAAATAAGAGAGCGGAAAATTATAGCTAAACACAAACACCACAAAAGTGTAAAAAGAGGCCTGGTCGTAAATGTACAACATCGCAAAAACAGTCCAGTCCTTAAGAGGTTAATAAAGTTGTACTGGCTTTAAAATAATTATTGATTAGAACACACTTGCTTTTGGTTTTTCTGCAAGTTTTGGATTGCTTTTCATGCTTCATCTGCCCTCCCCTCTTCACCAAGAGACTATGGATTTCTTGCTATTCATCCAGATGTTACTTGAAGAATATTTACATTTCTAAGGAATGAAAGCTTTAATTGCTTTCGACAGCTTTTGCAAATGCTGTTTACAGTTCTTGATGCCAAATATTATCTTGATAACTACTCTGGAACAATGTTAGTTCCATTTATGAATGTCCTTTTGAACAACAACAATTTGGCCTCCAGAGGGAACAGCGACAACATGAAACAGTAAAAAGTTGAAAAGTAATGGAAGTTTTTGCAGATTATTTTTTTGGCCGTGTCTGTGGGAATACAGTAACAGAAACGACAAAAGGTCATCAAGTTGTCTTTGTGAACTTTCATAAAAAAAACAAAAAAAACACAAATGCTTATTCTTAATAATGGTAAACACTAGAAAGGATTTCCTTTAACCTCTCAGTGACCGCGGACACACTTTAAGAGGGCCCAGTCGGGCGCTGTGGCCCCTTAAAAGCGCGACCGGGCCCCCTTGTTTTATGGCAGCAGGCTGGGAGGAAGTGACGGTAAAGCCGCGTGGGAGGAAGGAGGAGGGGGTGTCAGGAGGTGGCTGTCAGAGCCTCACACTCCCAACTACCTCAGCCTGCCACTGGACCCCAGGGAAACCACCCTTCTGAACCCAAGGGCTGGAGGGTGGCTTTAAAAAATGTAAACTTTGCATGTGTGTCAGTATGTATGTGTGTGTCTTGGTACGTCTGTGTGTGCCTTGGTATGTCTGTGTCTGTCAGGGTGTCTGTGTGTGTCTCCATTTCTCTGTGTGTGTGTCAGTGTGGCAGTATGTCTGTCTGTGTTTATCAGTATGTCAGTGTGTCTGTGAGTATCTTAATATGTCTATCTGTGTGTATCTCATTATATCCGTCTGTGTGTGTCATTATGTCTGTCAGGGTGTCTGTGTGTCACTATGTCTGTGTGTCTCTGTTTGTGTCAGTATGTCTCTGTGGGTGTCAGTATGTCTCTGTGCGTGTCAGTATATCTCTGTGCATGTCAGTATGTCTGTGTCAGTATGTCTCTGTGCGTGTGTGCGTCTGTCGGTGTGTGTCACTATGTCTGTCTGTGAGTGTGCCATTATGTCTGTCAGAGTGTCTGTGTCACTATGTGGGTGTGTCAGTATATCTCTGTGTGTGTGTGTCAGTATGTCTGTCTGTGCGTGTCAGTATGTCTGTCAGTGTGTGTGTGCGTCAGTGTGTGTCACTATATCAGTGTGTATATCTGTGTATCTGTATTTAGTATATCTATGTTTCTCTATGTGGATTGTGTGTATCTGCATGTGTGTCATGTTTAGTATCTGCGTGTCTGTATGTGTGTCAGTGTGTGTATCTGTATGTTGTCAGTGTGTGTACCTGCATGTGTATATTTGTGTGTGCATCTCTATGTAGTCAGTGTTTTTATCTGTGTTATGCATCAGTGTCTGAGTATCCATATGTGTCAGTGTTTGTATATATTTCTCTGTATGTGTGTCAGGTTGTGTATCTGTGTGTCTGTATGTGTTAGTCTGTATCTGCATGTGTGTTAGTGTGAGTGTCAGTATTTCTATCTGTATTTCAGTGTGTGTGTATGTGTATCACAGTGTGTATGGCAGTGTATGTTTACATGTGCATACATCTCATCATTCAAATCGCCAACACTACACACAAGTACACCCCTGCATTCAAACTTCAACACTACATACAAACACAGTTCTGCATTGAAACGTCAACAATACATACAAACACACCTTTGTGTTAAAGATAAAATATATATAAACACACCCCAGCATTAAAAAAGCAAAAAAACTACACATAGATGCATGCTTGCATTCAAATACCAACACACATACAAACACACCACTACATTTACACAAACATACTCCATACAAAAACATGCTTCCATTCATACACACAAACACAGCTCAGTGCTAAATACAACTCTGCAAGCATGGGAAAATGGTTCCGCTACTGCATTGGGAAGTGGAGAGCATGATTGCATGTCAGGGAGAGAGGGTGTGGAGTGAGGGTCAGGGGGCCCTATCAAATGCTTGCCCAGGGCCCAATCAATATTAAAGATGGCCCTGTATGTGCCAGTGTGTGTTTCTGAATGTGTGTATGTGGCAGCGTGGGTATCGGTGTGTGTATGTACCAGTGCACATATCTGTGTGTGAAGTTGTGTATATGCCAGTGTGGTGGTTCAAAGGAGAAGTGTGTGGTCTGCACCTCTGTGGCGTGCAGGCCAAAGTACCCATTCCTACTGCTTGGCGCTCATTCAGTGCCATGGCAACCAAGCAGCAGCGCTCTGATTCATTGAATGAGTGCTGGGACTGCAAGGGAATGCTTACCAAGCAAACTTCAAACGTTATTTAACATATTGCCAAAATGGCAATATATTAAGTAACGATTTTGACAGGCAGAACTTCAGGATCCAGTTGCATAGTTCCGCCACTCACTAGTATACAAAATTGCTGAATATGTGAGTGGGTTATGCCATCTACTCAAACCTCTTGCTAAAAAGAAAGGGAAGGGTAAGACAAGTGTCAGATTCTTCTTAGTATGGACAGAGGGCACTCCAGAACGCAGCAAATTCAGCTGTTTTGCAGCAAACAGAGGAAATGCAAAAGTGATTATCTTTTTCTAATTTACATTTTTTTTTTTATTGTTTTTATTTTTGTGAATTATTTTCCCTCTAATTAATCAAACATGATCTCCTGCTTCATCCTGGAGAGTCCCTTTGACATTCCAAACTTCTCACTATATTTTTTGATGTACAATCACAGACAAAATTCACTGTACGCATATGTGACTAATTAACTTTCCACATAAAGATATTCAAATACGTAACCATCTGTGCTAAATATAATCCAGTCCTCTCTTGATAAAACTTCATTTTGAGATGAAACATAAGAAACATAAAGACTGATTTCTCTTTTTTTTTTCCTGCATCTGAATCTAGTTTTGATGAGTAATGTTTGCAATCTGATATATCTTACAACGTTGATATGAACGATTATGTATTGTCTGGTCACGCAATTGCCAACTTAACATATCTTCAGGGGTGAGCCAAGAGTCACTGACACCTGGAGCAGGAATTTCCACGTCTTGTTAACCTCCGTTTCTATGTCTGCTCTTTTATAAGAATTAACCCTTTCACAATAAAGGGATTCATAGGTGGGGTTAGCAGATCCACCATGTTTTCAGGGACACATACCACATATACATATTGATGACCAGAACATGAAAAGGGTTGCCATGTAGTATGTAGAATTCAGAAGAAGGTGAATAAGATTTAGTAATCAGGCAATGAATAATCCTACGAAATATGCATTATACATGCTGCAGGGAAAGCCTTTTAATGCGTTTTCATAAATAGGACAAAATTATGTGTCCATGAAAACATGGTGGATCTGTTAACCCTAATCATAGGAAATAGTGGGGAATCATTATCAAAGTGTTCTGAAACGTTCCCTGATAACGAGCTAAATAAATCACAATATCCCTACTTATTTAAAAAGGATATTACACATATAAGGGAGAAAAATGACATCCCCTTTTTGGTTTAGTTTTGTCACTTTTTTTGTGTCCAAACTTGTGGGAAAATGCACCTATCAGTGTACTGCAAAATATAAACATTTTATTTATATTATTGTTCGTCCGAAACGTTTTACCAGATATTTTTCATGGGCAATACTCAGGCGCAGGGCAGCCATCAGGGCATGACAACCATAATGGTTGTCATGGGCCCGGCGGTCCTGGGTGGCCCGGACTGCTCGGGGAGTCCTGGGTCCCACATGCACACATATATAGCGATGATTGCTATATATATATATATATGTGCATTTTTGAGCCCCCAATTACCTTTACACCGCAGGGGGGGCCCAGCACAGTCTATCCTCACTTCCCAGCTGCTCTTCTCTAAGTCTTGCAAGCGATGCGGTCGTCAGAGCATTGCCACGGGTTACCATGGCAACGCTCTGTGTGGCTCGCGAGACTTAGAGCAAAGCAACTGGGAAGGGAGGATAGACTGTGCTGGGCCCCCCTGCGGTGTACAGGTAGTCAGGGCCCGCAGCATGCCACCAGACCACTAGGGAATGTGACCTCCCCCCTCTCTGGCCACAGGTAAGATGCAGGGAGGGAGGAATAAAATAAAATGTATACCAATTAATGGGAAAAAAATACTCCCCCCCAGAGTATGCACCCCCACTACATTTTACACACTCCACATTAACTAAACACAGACTACAACCTTACACAAATCCAGACTCTGCATTCACTACACACACTACATTCACTACACAAACACACACTCTACAATCACTATACACACTCTGCAATCACTATACACACACTGCAGCCTTACAAAAAACACACACTCTGCAGTCACTATACACACACTACATGCTTACACAAACACACACTCTGCAGTCACTATACACACTACATCCACTACACAAACACACACTGCATTTACAATACACACTACATCCACTACACAAAGACACACTCTGCATCCACTATACACACACTACATCCATTACACACACACTACATCCAGTGGCGTACATACCAGGATAGCAGGGGTCGCGGCTGCGACTGGGCCCGGCCCACCAGGGGGCCCGGTCGCCCCCGCGACCCGGTAGGTACCCACAGGGCCAGCCTCTTCTCCTGGGGGGCCCAGGAGCCGGCCACTTCAGGACCCCCCAAGGCTGGCCCTGCTGACCCGGGCTGTCTGTCTGGGTGGCCGGTGCGCGAGGGAGCACTCTCCCCTGTGTGCTTCCTCTTCAGCTCCCTCCCGAGGGGTTATTGAGTAAGCCATTGGCAGAGGTGAAATAACAGAACTTTTTGTTTCAAACTAGAAAATGTGAAAATTCTAATTGTATCCTTCTCGGGAAAACACTTTTAAAGTAAATAAATGAAAATGCCTTTTCTGTCCTTTAAGCTGAGCTGTTCTGGCAAAACATTTGCCTTGTATATAAAATTCTCCAAGAGTCCCGGTTTAGTGGAGACAGTCCACTTATCATTCTGATTCCTATTTCAATTAGTACAGATACATAGTATTTTCAGCCCATACAAAAAACAGCAACATATTTATCAATGCATATTGAACAATAGAAAGGCTAAGTAACTTTAGTTAAAGGCAGTCTTTCTGTGGAAACGGGAAAGTCAGGAATTCACTGGGTTTTAATAACAGAGATTGGCACCAGGCTAATAAGCATGTGAAATAATTACAGTATTTAACAATTCTGATCGAGAACATAAATACTTATTCACATCAGTTAATAAAGTTTGTTAACATAACTTTCCATTTTACGTACAATGGAGTCATTAAGTCTCTTGCTAACTTTTGATAGTACCACACTGGCCCCTCCCTCACCCATCCCATTAAACATGAGCTATGGTATGTATAAAACCAGACGTGTCTTGTAATACCTACATCTGCATTTTAAATTCCATCCTCAGTTCCCTTAATATGTTTTCTAACTGCGTTATGTCTTATTGTTTTCATGTAGACAGTCTTTATGTTATTTGATACTTTGTAACACTTTCTTTATTTGTCTGCAGCTCCTTACATTAGTCTACCTTGTACACCAGTATTCTCTCTCTGTGCCTTTTAGTTTTTTCATATACATTTACTGCTCTTGTTTATTTATTTATCTCAATTAACATATAGTTTCTCTTAGTTCGTAGTACTCACTCTATTCGTCCGTCTGCCATGGGCTCCCAGTGTCTGCCTGACTCTCTCTCCAAGCAGTGACGCTTTATCCCTTTCCCTCCCCTCTTTTCTCCTTGGTGAGTCAAACTATTTGATTAGGGAGCCAAAGACCACAAGGGAAAAATATCAGGAGAACAGAGCGAGGAGAGAAAATAACACACACACACAGACACACACAAAGAAAGCATGAGAATGAAAAAAAAATGTTTTAGTGGGAAATAGGCAGGCAATGAAAGAGATTTTTTTGGGAAAAGAGGTCAAGGCAGGGCCAAGCTGACAATAAAAAGCAGTCCACAATTATTATTTTTTTTAATACCAAATATATAATGTGTTGTGTCAGCTCAATGCCCAGATATATAGGTGAAGAAAAAAAAAATGCAATTTAATATTAACACTCCAAATACTCAAAATAAACGAAGTAAAGCCTTATTTTGAGAATAGGCATACAACAGCAGTCAGCAAAACAGTAATGGGCTCACCACAATTCACTGTTTTCTAAATAAATCCAAACAGACTTTTTATGAATATTCTGGCCTAATAAATACATGAACAAAAATATATATAACCAAAACATAGCTAGAAACAATGACCAGTGACACAACATTTATGGTTTTGTCTTGTTTAATGTGGCCTGGTAACTGTGGTAAGTGTACGTTTAACACTAGAAAGATTCTGGAGAAACTCATGGTTTCCCTCAAAGTACTGATTCCTAACAAAGGAGTGTTATCTACTCCCCCATCTGTTCGTGGTCTTCACCCGTAAGGTTATAAGTGGGAACTCTCTGAGTGTGTCCTTTTCTATGTGATACAGTTTAGTCTCTTGGTTTTAAATTCCCAAACAATTAAAGTAATTTAATGTTATTTAAAAGAGTGCTGTGCACTTTTGGGATGCAGATCTTTCAATGTGTGGATGATCCTACTCAAGTAGACCATTCCTCATATGGGTTTTGAAGATGGATGCTGCTTGAGTTGGAAGGGCAGAAGGCATGATGCTATTTGTCCTTACAACCTCCATCATAATGACCTGCAGAGCATGACAGATGATTCACAGAGATCAGTGCATGCTTAAAAGAACCAGACTATGTTTAACTCAACACCATTGACTACCAGTAGAACTGTACATTTGTTGCAAGCATCAATTCGTCCAAAACAAAATATGTTCAATTCGTTTTTATTCGATGAAACATTTTTGTTGGCTTTGTGATTCGGATTTAGAATTCCCAGCTATTTGCACGAACGAATCGCTTCATTTAAAAACAAAACATAAGATTTTAGTTTTGGACGTATTATTTTCTTGTCAAACGTATCAATTTGTTTATGGATGGATGGAGCAAATGCACACATCCAGAATAAAGAAAAATAATCCCTGCACATCTTTTACTGCTACAACGGTCGTTACGTATACATATGTGGTATTAGGAGAAAGCCCTTTCTGTACTTTAAAATAAAAAAATCAATATATATGTATAGGGGCACTTAAAGAGAAACCCTTAAATTACGGTTGAACAAATGCATAATGCAAATTCTAGGTTTTGTTGTAATTAGAGTTGACTGGTCGCTTTTTGAAAAATTTGCCTATAAATAAAAGGTAAGAGATTTTATTGGGTTCCTAGTCTAGCTCTTTCTGAGGCTTATTGCTCTTTCCCCTAAATGATGGGTATCCAATTTATCAGGGAGACATGATTCAGAAAAAGAACACTAAATATTGCTTGTGTGTATCTGTATGTTTATCCATTCTTCAACTGATACATTCCAAGTTGGGAGAAGTGCTTGTCCTCTACTGGTCTCCAAACCAGTCTTCATGACCCATTGAAGGGCATTAGAATTGAGAAGGGCAATGCATAAATCCTGCACTGTTGCTGGGTCATGACAAAATGTTTTAGGAAATGTTGTACTCAATACATTGGCGTGTTTATGCAGGAGTGAGAATGGAGAGACTGGATATGCAGTTACAGCTGGATGCAGTATACTGGCTTTACAGCTGCTGCCATCTACTGGTATTAGCTTTCACAGAGAGCTGCATTCTGAATCTTATATTTCTTCTCTCTCTATTGTTATTTACATTATAATTATTTATATAGTGCTAACGTATTCCTTAGGGCTTTACAGTTAAAGAATGGGGATAACGGACAACCAATATGGCTTACAATCGATTATTAAGGAGCACAGACACACAAGAAAAATAACAGCATGTCTGATGCACAAGATGCCCATGTCGGAATAAGCCTAGTAAAAGTGGTGTGTGGAAAAATCAAACAGTGGAAGGAGGTTAAGCTGGGCTATAAAGATATAGGAGCTGAGGAAGTCAGTTGTAATGAGAGGAGCGCCACCCAGGCAGATGGTAGTGTTTTTCGAGACTTCTTTAAAAAAAAAAAAAACACAACACAAGGTAAGGAGTTCCAAAGGAATGGGGCTGCCCTTGAAAATTCCTGCAGATGAGTTAGCAGCGCAGGAACGAGCAGATGTCAGGAGACAGTCACTTGCGGAGCAAAGGGAACAATTTGTTGAGTAAAAAGAAAATGTAATGAGGAATGGAGTTACTGAGAGATTTTAATATATTATTAAAAGAGACACTGTGGAACCCTAAAGAACTTTCGCTTGCTGAAATGCTTTATGTGTGAAGAGTGAGTCCTCTTTTTTTTTTTCAATTTACAAAAAGTGCAGATTTTAATAGAAATGTGCATGTTTATGATTTATTTTTGTAACACCCCCCTGGCTTTTAAGCAGACAGCAGATCCCGTTACTTCCTAGTTTGGTTAGCTCAGTGGAGCTAAACTCAAGAGTCAGCAATTGCTCAACATATCTGCCTTGTGAAGACCTGCATTGGAATGTCTGTGACTGAACAGCCACAGAAAGTCTTGGCGGGTTTGAAGGGGATGGTTTGCTAAGGCTGCAGGCTGTTTTTAGATATATTTCGTTTGTGTTCATGTCTGATAAAATGAGTGCTGTTATTATACTAAGAAGTAGACTTGCATACAGAAGAAACATTTGCTTCATCTGAATTGTTAGTACAAAGATGTTTTTTTTTTTTGTTTCATCCAAATTAATTTGGGCAACCTTTAATATTGCCCAGTTGAATGCTGGAGGTGTGTAAACCTTTGGTTCATACCCCTATTTCCCCACCATAGACTATTGCCATAATGCTTGCAACAAGGGTGTCCAGCAATGCCCTAGGAGTTGATAGAGTATGCATTGTTGATAGAGTATGCAATGCCCTAGCATTTGATACAGTTTGCATGGCGCCCACAGCTGTTTGCTCTAACACCATGCATACTCTATCAAATGCTACCTCCATCAAATTTTATTTCCTTTATTCACAAACAATAGCTTTCAAATATAGATAAGACATCCAAAATACAGAGGGTACTCTCAGCATGGGAATACTGTGACAAGTGATCATTTGGCATTTCCATAATCAGGACTAATGAATGAATATATTTTGAGGTATTTATCGTTAAGCTACGCTTGCTTTGTAGAGATTAGTTTAAGCAAAAACCATGAAAAAATCTCTCTCTATATATATTTATGTATATAGATACATGTGACGAGACCAATCTCGCCACATTGCATTGGAGAAGCCTGGTTGCTCGCCTGTTGCCTTTGGATTATGGCCCCATGTTTAAAGACTTCTTTTCCCCTGCAGAAAAGGCTTATTCGTGCCTTTCTGCCCGGCGGTCGGCAGATTTAATCTACCGAACTAACGCACGAATGACTGGGCCACCTGGGAGCTGGAGTGTGTCGGCAATTTACCTCCCAGAAGCTGCGGTTAACCGCAGCTTAATTGCCGAATGCTGGGTGGCCTCTGTTCGGTTGCTGAACACGTGGCGGCAGCCATTTTAAAGTCCCGAACGGCCAGTTCAGCGCCCAAACTGTGTAACTGTAAACAGACACTTATTTGTGCGAACACCGCTGAGCCGTCAGCCTCCTTGCTTCTGCATTCGGTCAGTTAACCGAATGCCTGTTCATTCGGTAGTTTAAACCGTATGAACATCATTACCCCAGATAGCCATCCCGTGGAGTCTATTCGTATGGAAAACAGACTTTGTGAACACTTTAACTCCACAGCGATTGGACTGTGTGCATAGGATCTGAGCGCTATTCGGTACTTTTGTGCACTCATATCCCAGCTATCTGGGGATGGGTTGCAAGTATATATTTTGTGTGATAAATGTAATATTGTGTATTTCATTGTGTTTTAGTGTTTTATTGTAACCATGTGGGTAATGGAGTTTTGCCTCTGTCTTGGGAGATAATTGGATTACATCCCAATTATCTCCAGGACAGATGGAGGGAAGTTAGGATGCATTGTGGGGATGTTTTACCTCTGTGTGTCTGTCATTGGTTCATGTCTGTCCTTTGTCACAGTCTCCCATATGGTCCCCTAGGGGAGTGTCCACCAGGTGGGAGACCTGCATAAATACTGGGCAGGTAGCCCTCATTAAACAGACCACTGCTTGACCCTCAACACGGAGCTCTGTCTCATTCTTGGGGGGATTTACTGTATGCTGTTAGAGACTGATATGCTGTTAAGCCACTTGGATGCTTTTCCTATTCGTCTGCTAGCAGCTATTTGTGAGGTTCCAGTTCGGGAGTTTGGAGTGCTATTTTGTATGCAATTCGGGAGTTTGGAGCATTCCCTTATATGCGGTTCGGGAGTTTGGTGTTCTGCAGTAGCTGTGCCTGTGCATCTGAAAAGGGGAACATCGCCTAAACGGTTTTAACCCCTGGTGTGCAAAACGGTCCGTTACAATACACCTAATAAGAAAGCAGAAAGGTACTTTTAAACAAACACATAGCAAAGGATAAAACCAACCGCAGTCATGAATATTGGAAAAACCTCAGTCAAGGGGTTAGCATCTGAAAGAATGGACACTTATTTGCTATTTGCCCCACAAACATGGGCATGTAAATGCCAGTGAATGGCAGCCACACTGTATACCTGCTCCTTACAAATAGCAGGAAACAACTAGTTAAAGCAAACTGTCAATACCTGGGGACTTTGCATAGTTTAAAAAGACCCTGATGGTGACATCGCCGATGGGGATCCTTTGGCCAAGAGAGCAGTTAGAGTTGAGTTTAACTTATGCATGCATGAGAGTACAGTATTGAGGTCTATGGAGGAGCCCAAGAGTCCTCCTTAGACAGAACCAATTCTCTG